ATCTTCATATGACTGAGATGTTAACTAACGATATAAATTTTATTCGATGAAAAATACGGAATAATTAAGTTTGACTTTATTCAGCATTAAAACATATACAAATGGATAAAATTACTATGTCTGATGGTTTCGCACTACACCTTAACATATTTCATAAATCATTATAATGTATAGAGAAAAGTACCTTTCTACCATTCTACTTTGATTTATTCCACTCCAGGCCATTGTGTAAATATGGCGGGTGTTGGATAAATATAAGTGATATTCCACTAGTGGTATATGGCCTTCCGGATACATGATTGGTGAACTTTGACCCGAACTACTTTGTTCAGCGTGATTTGTTCACTAGCGTGATTTGTTCCACGTGCGATTTGTTTGATATCGTCTGCTGTCAACATGGCTGAACTGGATACGCTTGAGGTGAATGTAGGTGATAAAGTAAGGCTATGTGATGGGGAAAAGGGTGTAATCCGGGCAATTTCAAAAACAGTTAATAATGTTGGGTTTGATCGTTTCCAAATAGAGCTTAATTCGGGAAAGACTGTTACAGAAGCCAGGTATCGTTTCAAAGTGATACTGGCTTGTCAGTGGTAGCCTGTATGTTTACAAATGCTTATACTCCGCCCCTTTTACGTCATTGATACATTGTAGTACAATGCATTTGTAATGTTGCACTTGCTTACATCTATGCCTAACATTGTAGCCTTTTCATAATTTTAGTCGATTGAAGTCAAAATTAGTCTTTTGAGCATAATTCCAGCCAAAAGTAATAAATTTCTTTAATTATTTCGGATGTCGGAATGGTGCTTATATTGGCCTTGATTAAATTGCTGGTTATTTATTCAGTTCATATTCAGAGTTTAAATTCATGCCTGTTTTTTTTTATATAACCGGGTCTGATGAACAAGTCTGGGAGTAACAACAACGGAAAAAGACTGATAAACCATAGTGCCAGTAAGTACCTTGTATAAAAACTCAATGACAAAGGATTACCTCCAAATCAGATTAAGCAGGTCTCAGCTTGATCATTAGGGCCTATAATCGTTATGAGTTAATGGACACTTACCTTGTTTAAAGAAATTAAATCCCAAACAGTTTAACACTAATATAAATTTATAAAAATCTCCGGCTTAGAGTAGACAATAACTAGATCTCTACTTCCGTTGGTTCTATAAAACGTTGCCTAATTATGTAATTCTCTGCATCCTCCAGATTTCCGGGCACAAGAATATCCAGAGTATCAACAGTTACTCAACTTTAAACACAAACCAGCACCGGACGATTTAAAAGAGCGATATCGTCATGCTTGGATCATGTTGGTGACAGGCCTTTCACGAGAGCCTATAGCACATGTAGTGCAAGCGAAGTCATCTTCAGACCTCCAAATCCTGAATCAACTGTGTCTGCAAATCCCACTGGTGCCCTTACTTCAGTATTTGCAGGTCCTATTCACGGTGGTTAATTCACAATAAACATTAACAATACAAACGTCTATAAACGTCCCAGACCAAGGGTGCTGTACTCTGATTCTGACAGTGATTGAGTTTGAAGTTTTCGGCGGGAACCAGATGACACCACTATATGTGTCTGTATAAAAGCGCGCCTAATATAGTCCGCGATTTTCTACAATTATATAGACAGTTCAAGTTTATAAGACAGCTAATCGTCATTGTTTTATTATGTCTAAACTTTACAATAGTGAAAATAATAAACAAATAAATTATTTATCATCATATATATTTTTGAATATTAATTGCAGCCTTTTCACTCCGAATGCTATCTCTACGCCACATTTGCATGTCAGGTAGCAGTAAACAGTTAATTTGCATTTTTCCTGAAATTATTTGTCATGTTTGAGATATACAGGTATAGCAGATTGGTTATGGAAAATACATCATTACATGTATATATATTTATAAACTATATAACAATTACATTAACAGTAGAGAGATGAAATTTGTGTAAAAAAAAAATTTCCTCTGATTTCTGACATTTGATTGTCATGGTTACCTACTGAAAAAATGCTAAAAATGCAAAAATACTGCTGATTCCAACCCAACACTACAACTTTCTAGGAGAAATTCAATTCTAAACACCTATCTTACAATCAACAACACTGTCATGGTAACAAAGTACTTACATTTCAGCAAATTCCAACTCGGAAATTCTTCATAACATGACCACATGTGAACACTATGAAAATTTCACTTCCTGTAAAGCTAGTTTTTGGTGCGTAGACACAGATTCGAGACTGCCCAAATAGTAATCTCCAACACAAAGCTAAAATATTATCCTGAAAAAAATGAAACCCCACATTGTCCACTTTAACATGACAGGACCAATTTTAGCAAGGATTTTTTTTTCATTTTTAATTAAAACCTTTATAATGGGGTAATCTAATGAGCAAAAAAATCACCCATGGTCACACCGAGAAACTGTGTACTGCTACCTCAGCAAATTGTTTACACACGTATATATATGTGTTAGTCTTCGCCTACCGCCTGTGATCTCGATATAAGAATGGTAGTAACAGATTACGCAACGCCGTATCCTACAACCACTCGCTGTGTAAATGAAGAAAAAAAGACATGTTCAAATATACTGATCAGATTCATACATTTTGGAATTTTTATCTACAAAACGATGTATTGATATTTTTCTGTAATCAATAGTAAAAAGATCGTTTACCCGGATTGAGAAATCCGCGAATACGTGATGCGGTATGTCCTCAATAGCTTATGTACACTCTTTCGGCCTTTCAGTGGTGTGAAAGGGAAGGAAAATGAGTAGAGAGGGGAAAGAATGAAGTAATGGGAGAGTGAGATTCAGAGATGAGGTACAGAGGGTCTACCGCACCAGACCTATAATATAGCTTTAGCCCAATTAACTCTGCAGGTCGCAGAAAGGGGACCGATTTAAGATAACGATGATGTGGATCCCACACTAAATAAAGAGGTATAGCGCTTGACTGTGTCGGAACACCTACATCAGTTCATCGCCTTGGTCGATCTGAAAATACATTACTAATTAGACACATGAGATTGGCAACTACTGCAGTTCTTGTATGATCATGTAGGACTGTATTGTCTTCGTATAGGGGAGATTTGGTGGCGTCCCTTCATAGCTGTGATTATTGAATTTCATCAGGGACTGCGTATCACAACGATATTGAGATTTGAGGTGAGTGATTAATATATCATATTAAAGCTTACAAATCATTTTAGACCAACAACAAACAACAGAAAGCGCTGATATTACACTTAATCCGAGAACGAAACAGATCACATACACATATGGCCATGTAAAAAGACCTTCAAATTACTGACGTTTCACAGCTTGGTTCTCAAATTTAAAGAATATCGATTAATAATAAAGGTCTATTTACGCAGGTACGATTCTGCGTGTATTCGAGTTTCGTATGAGTCTACGTCATCATCATCATCATTTTTAAAAGTAATATCAATTTGTGACAATTAATCTAATTGAATCGTTAAATACAATTTGTAGTACTGTGATGTATTTTGTGGTTAAAAATTTATTTCTATAGGAGTTACCTCCCTTCCACTATTGATTTAATTAAATATGTATGTGTGTGTTTCAGATCAGTAGCATGTTTTTTTCTATTTGTTACAAGGTTGTTTCGTCTGATTTCTTATATTACTCAATAAAGACGACAGAGAAACTTAAGCAGCTGTTATTATAAAGACATGATAACATTCTGCCACATATAGGTACACACAACGTTGTACGGCTTATCGGCTGCATTTATTATCACCAAAAATAAAAGATCGGAGTCTTGCCAAATTGCGCATGGAAATGTATACTTAAGTTAAACGACACTCGACACAAGTAAAAATTTATCAAATTGTGTGTTGAAAAAAATGTTATGATGTCAGTACCTGAAATCGAACGTGCGACTCCGTGAAAATTCGACTAACATGAGTAACGTCCACGGACTTGGAATAGATCTATTCTAAGGCTGTGGTAACGTCTTATCCTGTGTACTATAGACACTGCTGATGAAGATATAAGCGACATTTCAATTGTAAATTCAACGTTGAAAGCATGTGCACTTAACATTTTTTTATCCAATTCGATTTTTCAATATTGGACACGCTTGTACCAATTTTTGAGGTAAATCTTAACACACTGGATTAGGTTCAATTGCCTAAAGTTGGTACATGTGTGCGCTTTGTGTCTAAATTGTATTTGAAGCCGGGGCCGGGTAAAAAATAACAGATGACATATATCAAGGATATTTTTCTGATTATTGGTAGCTCATTAAGATTATCTATCCCAATTTATTCCCAAAACTGATTTTTTTCCCCATTTTACTGTCGGTAACATTTAAATCGAATAAGGCAAAACTACGTGATACCTTTTTCAATATGTTATCACAAGTATTTTGGAAATAATGTTAATATTTTTAAGTCCGTCTAAATTGCTTGATAAATAACCATTTTGCACTCCTGGAACATTTCCTGGCTAAATCGAAGGCACAAGAAAAGTAAATCAATAGAACTATAGCGAGTTTCAATAGGAAAAAAAACAATCACAAACTGATACGCTCCTTTGAAGATAACAACGATGACTTTTTTAACGGATAAAACCGACAGCTTATGTAAGTTTACACGATCACTATGTACACATTTGAAAATAATATTAAAAGAATATTAAATTACATTTTAGTTATACATCATATTTTTCATATTGCTAGTTTTAGAGGAATATCCCGAAAGTTAGTAAGCGATGTTATACTGGTCAGGTACATTTATTAAACGACCGAGGCGAAACACGGGCACAATTTATGAGCGAGGGGAGGTAACTCGTATAGCTAATATCGCTTAGCAACGCGATAGCATAACCGCCATCTTGTCTATCGTGACAACTAGGCCTGCTAAGGCTTGATATAAATACAGGAGTTTACTGCAAAATCCGTGTGATATTGACGGTGTCATCACATATATCGAGTCAGCATCAATGAATACATTGGATCAACAATGACCGATGTGCAGGTAATTACGACAAATATGATTTAAATGATGTTTTAACTTGATTTGGCAGAGGGCCGAGTTCGAGAAAATGGTCATTGAAGCACAGGTGACATTGTCACCGCATTTAGATTAGAAATGCGTCGTAGATATTTTGTAAGAGGGCCTTTATTTCACAGCTTATAAAACCATGAATTGAAGTTTTGAATACTTATGACTAATGAAACGAATAAACTGATAAAATACTTCGTTTTGACAACGAAAAATTGAACCGAGATCGACGTCTGAATTGTTTTGTAACTATCAATAAAAGATCGTTTTTGTTTCACGATTCATTATAGCAATATAAGAAATTGTGTTATATTTAAGTAATACCCATTATCAACTACTTCATTTACAGATCACAATGTATTTACAATTATCTTTTAATTCTAAATCGTGCCGATAATTTTGCTGCTACTCGACGCTGAATTAGCAAGTTGCTATGTACAAAACATTGCAATAGGCATTGTAGGAAAGTACTTGCTATACAATGTAAGCCCATCAAAAATATACTGTAATTCTCTTACATAATAGATCAGGACCTATAGTCATTCTACAAGTGACAATTAAATGCAAATATTTTAATGGTAAAATTATTTTATTATGATACACAGATTACAATGTGTACTGTTGCATAATTTGATGTTACCATAAATGGCTTAATATTCATACATAATGTTTGACGGATCGTTTTCATTTTCTATTACAATTATATGATAAATAACCCAAGCTATTGATAATTACTGTTTTAAGCATTGGGAGCTATTTTTATGTGCCCAGCTTTTCTACATACTGACTTGTCCAATGACAATATTGGACAAAAAAGTAATAAAGAAAATAACCTTTATGTGTAACAATATATGATCTTGACAAACACTGATAACTTACTGTAGTATAGTTGAAATTATCATTTTTATTCATATGAGACTAAAATTGATAAAAAAGGTAGTTGGCAAACTTATATTATAGACATTTTTCAGATAAGGCTCGATCTTATCTGCCTGTCTTTCCTGAGCATGTTTTCTCTAGCGTTCTTTCTGGGTGTTTTCTTCTGTACTACAGTAACTAGGTTATGTGTTTCCCTAGACACACATCCATCCTCATATGATTCTGGCTGTTTAAGGAATTCACAGCTCAAGATAAACAGAATTTTCATAAACTAAGATGGGGCATTTCATTTCCTTACCTAAATTCCAAATGAAGTTTTCTATTTTAAAACTGGGTACTTAATGAGCTCTTTAAATACACATGTGCTTCAACAATTCTGATATCTTAGAGATGCTCAAAATGAAAGCCCAGGAAATGTTTTTGTTTTCTTTTTGTACTTTTTTTTCATAACAAAAAACAGAATGATGTTTAATTATTAACGAAGGTTGAAAATGTAACAACAGCAAAAATATATCAAGATATATATGTATATTACTCAAAAACTTATCATTAAAAGTACAACTCAGAAGAGTGTTTTTGAAAAAAATACATATACAACCAACATTCTTACATGTGCATGTCATTAGCAGTCATCTACTGAAAACATTTCTAAACCTACCAAAGTGTACATCCATGGGAGTATTGCAATATATTTTAGATACTAGGAAACCGAGCACACTTGTTGTTAATACGATATCAACCCATCAAATCAACTGAATTAAACAGACAAGATCTTGATTCATGATGATTATTGACAAAAGTGATACCTGTTTATGGATTAATTTTGAATGATTTGTTCATGATGGACGAGTCATACTTTTATGAAAATATTTTTATTTCTTTTTTACAGGGGTCCCCTCGAAATGGGGGTGGTGGCAGTAAAGGGAAGGGAACAAATGATCCAATCAGGTTTTTGCCAGTGTTACCATCAAAAAGAAGCAAACCATCATGGCAGCAAAGTCAGCCATTGTTTGAGTTGTCTGGTAAACCAGTGGAGGAGGATAAAAATGGAATAGATCTTGTTGGAGAACTGACATCAAGTAAGTAAACAGTGACAATTCTAATTCATGTTTAGCCTAAATTATCAGCAGAGGTGAATTTAGAACATTATTTACTGAGTAAACTTATTGCAAAAATGAATAAAATTTGAAATTAGCTCAAATAAAGAATCCTATTTATCAAAATGTAATATTTTGATTTTTATTATGATGTGGTTTTCAGATGTGAACCCCTTGTTTGCACATTGTCTACTCTATAAATTGAGTAGTAAAGTTTGATTTTATAAACCAGATTGTAACCACAAGCATTTGAAAAGATCATCTCTTTAAACAGAAACTTGTAATTTTCTCTGGTTGAACATATTGAAAACTATTGACTTTTGTGTTTGTTTAGGAGAACCAAAAAGAAGGAAGACAGGAAAACTGAAACCATTAGACAAACAAAATGGATCAACAAACGGTGATGTTAGTCAGTTCCAGCAGCCGAAGAAAGACCGTGAACATTTCAGGAAGGCACTTGTTGATATCATTATGTATGTACCATGACATCAATACATTTTCAAGAATAGAATTTACTTATGTACATGTATGTACAACTTACAATTATGATAAAACACGGGAATATTATATTTAAAAATGTAGGTCACTATATCTGAAATACAGATGTATTTTCCATGTTCCTAAAACTATTCTTTATAAAAGAACAAGTTGTTAAACAAAATTAAATTAAATCAAAATTTGATTTAGATTAAATCCAGGATTAATTATGTGAAAGTAACATGGTGATTTTGTATACAATGAGATAGGATTTTAACAATGGTTGCCAACCGGGTTCAGATTTTTTCCTCTTTATTATTACATGGGAGGATTCACCAACGTGTTTACTTTATTTTTTATTATAAATCATTGGCTTGTAGCTAAATTATCTAAAAATTGTGAGTAGAACTTGAAACTAGAATTACCGGTAATCAATTTTGCATAACATGTAAACCTGCAATGCATTATTTCAAGAAATGTGTTAAAGAAACACATACCCTGTAATATTAGAATATGTTGATTCCTAGAGTGAAAAAATGTCTATATTATGTAAGATAAAATAAGTAAGATGCATGATCTTATCAAATTGATAACATTTTCCCCTCACCTCTCATCCTTTCAGGCAAGATGACCAAGGCATGCCTCACAGTAGTACAGCCTCCATGAATGGAGACCTACCACCTCTGTCACGCACAGGGTCTCCCACAGGAGCTGAGAAAGATATCCTTGTAAGTCTTATGTGGCTACATTGAAAATTTAAAATAAGGGTCTGTTTTCTTCTCACTGTTTAAAAAAGAAATCATAATTTGATACTGGGAAAATACTGATGAATACAACAAGGAAGAAAAATATCACAAAAGATTTAAACTTTTTTTTTTTTGGGAGAGAGAGAGAGGGAGAGAGAGAGGGGGGGGGGGGGGGGGGGGGGGGGGGAGGGGAGGTAAAGGAGCATTGGAATATGATATAGCCTTATTTTCAACTCCTATAGTTTATACCTAGACTGCTTTAACACTCTGAACAAACCTTTTTTTTTCTTATTTCAGCGCTATTATTACTACATTCATAATGGTATTGACACAGAACATGTGGCTCCCATGGAAGACTCCTGGCTGGAGAATGTACTCAATCTTGTCCCATACGAACTGAAGGTAAGCAATTATGATGAAACAGACTTGAGGTTATTCATTTTCAAAATTCTACTCTGTCTTATATTATAACTGTCTCTCGTAACTCCGACATGTCAAAATAGTTCCTAATGAGAATTTTATGTTCAGACGATCAGTTTGATTTACCCCATTTTGATAATGGCAAACCTGTATGATAATGACACCTTTAACTTAATGTACATAATTGTACTCAATATCATTATAAAATATTAATGTTTGTTGTTAATCTGTGACTATCATTTTCAATTACGACTGAAAGTCATTTAATGATATAGATTGGAAATTAAGATTGAAAATGAACTTTTAATTTTTTTGATTATCAAGTTTGTTGTCAATCTTAACACAAATAATTTTTAAAAAAATCTTCAGGATTTCATATAATTTCAATGATATTTTGTTAAACAGACAGGCCATGGGGAGACAATTGAGAATTTATCAGATGAAATGAGAGAAGACTACCTCCTCAGTGTAAAGAAGGCCATCGGTGAGTTTATCATTCCGTGTTATTGATTTTTCTTAATCCCTGTATATGTGTAGATAACAAGAAACAGACAGTATGAAATTAAAATGTTCAAGCCTGAACTTTGGAATTCAAGGTCTGTATCATAATCCAGTTTAAATTATTTACTTGTTCAGGCACTGATATACCTGGTAAAGTCATTGCCATTTTATTGTCTGTTTAAACAAATGATATTTCCAATGATATTTTTAGTCTAATCTGGTCCTTAAAATTGGCCAATAGTTCAGAGCTTTGGCTTCAGTAACCTCTCATGAAGATATGAGGTGCTTGGTTTGGTTCTCAGGAAGCTGAGACACTGATAGTTCTAAGCTGTTGTGTCTTTGAACAAGACACTAAAGTCTTTACAGTAATTGCCCTAGATGGCATGTAATGGGCCTTCCATATAATATTCAGTGAGGTATCTACCAGTTGTGAACTACTTCAAGGAGTCCCCTCCTCAAAATTACCTTGGCTTACAGAGCAAGACACCAAGCAATAAACAAACATATGTTCCTTTATAATAGATAGCAATATTAGAAATAAGGTTATAGTGATGACAAAACATAACATTACTTACTTCAGAAATCTTGACAAGGAATACTTTTCAAGTTTTACATTGTAATTTTAATGTTTGGTTTTTTGTTACAGTTGACTTTGTGCTGAAGGATCCTCGGGAGAAAGAAGACGATAACAAAGAAAAGCCACCTCCCCATCGTGAAGAGATGGATGTTGTACCTAAACCCTGGCACAAGTCCTTTGTCCAGGGCCTCGAACTGACCACACAGAACCTACACATTACCACTCCATGCATGTTACAGGTTCTGGATTTCTGGCATGTCTCCTTTGGGTAAGTTTCATGTTAAACATTTTCAGGTCAATGTTCATAATATATGTTGGTGACTTTTGATTTATACAAAATTCAATGCAAATGATCAATTCATTTGTACAATTAACCTTTCGCTTTCTACCTTTACATGGTTTTCTTTTCATGTCGAATGTGTTAACACTGGCAATTAAAACCTGAAGAAGCAACATCATTTTCACTTAATGTAGAGTTATAAACGTCTTAATTTAATGATCACTATTGCTATCTTTCATTGGTCAGTTGGAGTTTTATCAAACATCGTCTTCTAGACACAATGTCGCCATCATTGCTAGATTTATAGAGGTTTGTCTACAGGTACCTCAGTGATAACCAATAGTTTTGTTGTTGGTTGACAGATGTATTGTCTGGAGTCATCAAAACTAAATCTGTCTTGTATTTTCATTGCAGCAACTTACGATTCATTGATATTGAAGAGTTCCACAACCGTGTTGAGTCCATGGAGCTTGGTCCATTCCAAACGCTGTGTATGCGACATGTAGAAGCAGCCAAAGACAGACTATTGAAAAAGTGAGTGAAGTTGTTGGTACATTTTTCATTGGCCTGTCCATAAAAAGTTCACTTTGAATCCAACACTACTGAATTTTAAAGTTATCAGGTTATTGAAGTATTTCACTTTTATAAATTTGTTTCTGTTTTGATGTCTTATCATAACACAAAATAGTGGAATGTACTCTTAAAAAAAACCCACAAACTTAATAACAACATCAGTGCTTTTACCTTCTGTAATGGACAACTTTGTTTGAGAAATTATTGTGCAGCAGACAACAATAGCATCAGCTTTTATAACATTTATAGCACAAATAGTCACTAGCTTGTAGCCAAATAAAAAAGTATGACAGCATCAATTTAACATTTAATTTTAGATTAATTAATAATATCGTAGATAATATGGAATATATGTATTTTGGTAGGGTATTTTCTGTATCGTGTGGTTTATACAAGTTAAGGACAGATATAGTAAATATCTATCTTTGTTAATATCACCTGTAAAGAGCTGGCACCTGTAATTTTGGCAGCCATGAAGTTGAAATGATTTTAAGATTCAACCTTAGATTTCATTCTCCTGCCCTTGTACACATATCTTTCAAGTGGGGGATATGGCAGCCAGCAGTTTAGAATTCTTTTCTCTCTGAATTAAGTTAACTTGCCAAAATACAGAAACAGGTATTTCACTGAAAGATAGTTTTAAAACTTGCTGTTTAAGTCAAAGAATGACATGTTAAATTAAAGTTTCGCTAATGAAAAAACATAGTGTTTTGCAATATCATTTATTTTCTTAAAATATGTCATCAAAATGTTATGTACCAGGGTATACAGTACTTGTGGGGCAATAGTACTGATATATAAAATTTGAAAAGTATTCATTATGTATCAAATAAATATACATTTAATTATCATGTATTAAATAAATATACATTGTATATTAAATAAATAATCTGCATTATGTATTATCTGAAGAAGAAAGAGAAATCTGCATTCACACGATTTCATCAATGCCAGATTGTGCAAAAAAAATGATATTAATTATAAATATGTAAATAATCTCATGCAATTTTGATTCTTTTAGGCCTTTGTTTCTAAATCTTGGTGGTCTAAAATACTGAGATATTTTCACCCCAGGTTCAAATTTTCACTTTTATACAATTACAGACAAATTCACATTATTTGCCCTCTGGTGTGTAACAAATTTTCGTCCATCTCAAATTCGCATTCCCTGTTCATGTACAAAAAGTGCGAAAATTAAACAAAAACGAAAATTTCCAACTATGCAATAGACCTTAGTACAGTATTTATAGAAAGTGTTTTAGCAGAGTCTCTGAACAGTCGTGATATACCTGTATGTTATACAATTTTTGATGAATTTTTCATATACTTGTACTATAGTGATATTATAACATATTGTAACAATATCTGTTAGAGTATATACATGTGTACCTATAAAATGACTCTTTTAAGTTGAAATCCTGCATGTCACAGTTGTTCAGCAGACAGACAAAGGTTATGGAAATCTTTTGAATTTAATTCTGGCAGCTATTCAAATACAAAGGTGTACCTACAGGGACCTAGTGTCGACAAAAGATTGACGCACGGGTTCAGCTAAATATCATTTAACACATAATCTGAACCTTCGATCAGACTTACAGGCAGAATTACAACACAAGTCCAAGTTTTAAATATCAATGATATAATCATTTCTGTTGGAAATGAGCAGTGACAGATTCAAAGACCAATCTGGGTGAATTTCCAAAATTTTATTTAGAAAGGTGGGGGGAACTTGGGGGGGGGGGGATTTAGTATAGGAAAAATATGGAACACATTCTTGATTTGGAAGGTTATAATAAAGAGGTATTCTGAGGCAGAAATCAACAAAACCCTGGGGATCTAGCTACCTTTAATTAGTATTTACAAAATGTGTCATTAATTTGGTTATTACAGAAGAAGTTCATAATGATAATTTGTACATAATATATCTGCATTCCAACTCAGAGATACAAAAAAAAATCATACATGGAGAGTATACAGTAGTAGATATTTTATTTACATTAAACCTTTGTATTAAAGATGTCTCCCTGTACCAGTAAATTCCTCAAAATGCTTTGTGTTGCCATCTCAGCATGATTGCTGGTTAAACAGGTTCTTTAATAAATAATTTTTTCTTGAATATGTACACTTTATCTTTGGTTAATAAGATCCTAACTTCAGTCCTACCCTCAGGTTCCATACATTGAAAGGTATTTCAAATTAGAAAAAAAGGTGACATACATATTTTTCTTTATAATCTACTTGCCATGCAGGCAATCATGAATATATATATAACCAGTATCGAGGAATTGTTACTTAATTGCTATTATCTTGTATCTTTTATCACAGATGGTTCCCAGAGGTCCAGATTATGTTCTATGAGGGAAACAAACGCAAACAGGTCCCCAGTAATCAGGATCCAGAGAAGCTTGAATCGTTTTTCAACTGTGCTGCCACCTTGATGACAGACAACCTTCAGCAGCTGACCTTGAACTCTCTCAGTGACTACACTGACCTCTTATGTCAGCCCCCTGTAAGATTTAGAACCACACTTTTCTTGTTTCAAACTGTTCTTGTTGCTTATGTTATAATTTTAAGCCAAAAAATATATGTTTCAGTTTTGACTCTCAAGGAAATAAAAGAAATTTTTTCCATTCTCAAAAGTTTCACCAATTCAATAGTTCAGATTGCACACAACATGGTATATGTCAGTCTTCATAATTTTTTTTCTAATTTGTTATCACACTTACTTTATGCAGATTGATAAATATAAAAAAAATTATAGAATGTTCAAAAGGGAATCATTTTTAATTTTACCTACCAATGTCATCATTGTTGAGTGCTTTATTTTGATATTAGAAATAATTATTGAAATACGAATCCATGTTTATTTCTGAAAATATGTTGTCTTCTCAGAACTTTGATTTTTGTTTGTTTTAGCATTCCACACGGGCACATGAACATCCAGGGTTTGTGTTGCGCTTGATCCTTGACAACAATGGGATCAAGTTTGAACCAACATTTAAGGAGTTTGAGATGGTCATACTCAACGTATATGATGTCATGATCAAGGCTTCAGGCCAAGTTCCCAGAGTGGAAACCAAGCTCTACCTCGACTGGGTAAGCAACTTAGTTTAAAATAAAACCATCAGTTTGTAACATATTTGATCTCTACAAATAAAATCTTTAAATTATTTATGTCTTTTCTTCCCATCATCAATTGATATTATAGATATTTTTGTTTCTCTTTTTGAAAGTTAAATGTCAAGATATATTAAACAAATAATTTTAAAAAATATTGATGTAAAGCCAGAAACTGATCGTGATCAGTGCAGGTGTAGTCTTAATTTCTCTGTGCATAAGCATAACATATCATTATTCAACTTTATTAAAAAATTAATATCACAAAGATGTCAACAATTATAACACTGACATGTACATGTACTGAAGCTTTGATGATACTGACTTATACAATAAATGAAAAAAGGAATTCAGACAGAAAGTAATAAGAATTAAGTATAAATTATTTTATATCTTTTTATTTACAGAGTGGAAACAAGAATAAGTCTAACCTCCAGCCCATCATTCTCCCAGAAATAGTGGAGGCTCACAAACAGAAAGTGCGCGACGTCATCAAGAAGGAGAGTATCGGGCCTATCGAACATTGTAAAATATTTGACAAGTACAACTTCCTCATCTCCAAACAGGTAGGTAAAATATTTGACAAGTATAACTTGTGGTCAAAGATGGTGTGTATTGATCAAAATATTATGTCACAGAATCAGTCATATGATTCAATTTACAATTCATTAAATCAGGTATTTTAGAAATTACAGTTGCAAAATGATGAAAAAGTTTAAATCATTTTCTCTCACAGGCCGAAGCTGATGTGGAAAATTTTGCAAAGGAGACTCATTCTTTCGAAGAATACTCCAAAGAAGTGAAGAAATACCAAAAACTGGTTGAGGAAATCACTTACGGAATGCAGAAGGTGAGAATCAATGTTTATCATGTTATGGATTTAGACAAGTGATGTTTGAATGATAAATAATACAAGTTATAATCAGTGTTCAAACTTATTGATATTAGTTTTATATCTATATCAGACTGATTCATATCATTTAGTTATCATATATCATGATGTATTAGATAGATGGTACATTGTATAAAAATTATAATCATTTAGGTAAATGTGTTTTCAAAAACAAAAAAACGACATTACGTTAAGTATAATCAAGTATACTCATAAAGTTAATGAATGTTTTTTGTTTAAAACATTTTTTTTCATTGTAGAGAAAATACATTATTTTCCTCAAATTTTATACATGTTTTAATTTATTTGAAAAAAACATAATTTTTGTAGAAAATGTTTTCTCAAAAATGAGAAACATTTAGTGTATACTTGAATTAATGTCATGATTTTTAAATAAGATATTTGTATTAATTAAAAATTTAAGGTGTAGGTGGCACTGTAGATCTGAAGCTAATACTACAGGTTGGGGTGTGTAGGTCCAGTCAGTCAGTACTCTGGTGTGTAATGGGTTAGAACCTATACATGTATATAACTAGCTAGGTATTCACAGACCCTCTGTATTGTACACAGAATCACACAACTAACACCAAAGGAATTGAATCATGCCTGTCAGGATTACAAACTTATTTTTAAATTTTTGAAAACTTTTTGTTTTACATTTTTGTACAATTTAAGTTAAAACATGAGTACATTGTTTTGATTTTTTGTTCTGCAAAGCTTTATATCTCGTTATAAATTTTTGTATTTATTTTTACATTCCATTATATTTTTTTTTTGCATGATGTAAATATATATATACATGATCCTTAGCATAATTAGAAATATTCCAAGCAAGTTTAAAATATCTTTTATGAAATTATGTATCAAACATCTACTAATTCATTATTATCAGAATAGATGAGAGAAAACACAAGCCAAAACTATTGAGTTTTGTTTTCAAGTGTCACAGCGGTGCTTGTATTCTTCTCAAGTTTGGTGAATTTGATAATGTTCAACTGATTCAAAATCTAAAATTAAAAAATCAAATAAATGTATTAAAACAATCGATATTAACAATTATTGGATTAATCTATATTCCTGTTGATCTTTATAAATATGGGCCATGTTTACACATTTTAATGTTTCTGTGCGAAGAAATAAAGCCTTTATATCTCAAAAGGCTATTAAAGGCCATTTCAATTTGATATATGTTACCTAGTTATGATTTCTGCTCCATGTTACCTAAACAAGGAGGGATTAAGTATTGCCGTGATGATTATTTTAAAATATTTCAACCATTTCATCTTGTTTTATTTTGGTTGATCATGTTTTTATGATTTCTTTCTGGTTGTATGATTTGCCCGCCATTAACAATGTATTCACTGAACAAATGATTTCTCACCAGGGTGAATTTAGACCAAAGGTATAATCTACGTAATTTCAAATCTTCAAAAAATGTTTCATCTCTCATATTTCTCATTGATACTTCTCTGCACAAATTACATGCTGTTTCTTTCAGTCCTTACTTTTCTTAATGTTATAGTTTATCTAGCCATCTCTACTTTCACTTTCTGTATGTTTTATACTGCACCAACTTTTAATGTAGTTGTTAGCTGTGTATGTGGTAATGGGTATCTTTACTTATTGGTTGTAATTGTAGTAAAACGTAGTCAACAAATGATGTGTCTATTTTTGGAAACAAAGATCAATACAGGTGACCCTACAATAGATACACACACATATTAAGTATATTTTTCAAAATTTCCAGCAAAAGAGAAAATTACACATTAATTTACATATTTTCAAAAACTTGTTCATCCCATCATTATACTTAAACCTTGATGTCGGCTGGGATGCTGCTTTAATGAATGTGTTCTTATTATCCTTCAGTATTTTTTAAAATTTTGATTCTTTAATTTTACCCACAAACTGATATATTATATTTGGATTTCGGAAGGTTTCTTTAAAATGAAGTGATTGCAATTTGCATAATTTCCAAAACAATTAGTATTCTGTGAGTTTATGAACATGAGGGACTGAACCTGCTGGAAGTTCTGGAAATATTGTTCTACGATTTATTTGTTCTCTAAGTTACACAACAATTTTCAGTAGATCTCAAACTGTTTTGTTTTCAGGCTCAATCTTTTCATGAAGCAAATTTCTACCAGTTATGTTGAAAGTCTGTTTGCTTAGTGAGGTTTCTTGTCATAAATTGCCAATTAACAATGCATCATTCTAAATTGAGAATTCTGATAGGTATACATGGCCAACTGCCAAATTTTATAATTCAGTTCAATTATTTACAGCTTTTCTCATATACTGGTAAACCTGAATTAGCATAAGGTAATGCACTAAGCATTTGGTATCAAGTTGAAATTGATTATGTTTTACATGTAATTGACTCTGTCATCAAACATATAGTGCACTTTTTAGTTTTTCTCAAAGATAGAGTATGTAATCCATGTGAATCTGTGTTTTAGTGAATTCTGTACCTTTAATAAACACATATGAAATCAGGGGATAAGGAAGGAGAATACTTCTATACTTCTAACAGTTCCTGTTACAATCAGTACCTGTTAATATTGCTTCCCAAAAAATCCAAATCTCTCCAGATATTGTGAATCTCTTACGAGGGAATACTGTGCCAAGGGAAATAACTCTTAACAAAAAAAAAAAATTTTTTTGGAAGGATGTTGTACTTCACATTGTATTTTGAATGATATTCCTAAAAATAATTCAATAAAAACACATGACTGTAATTTAGATTTTAAAACTTTACCCCTCCAAACTCATTTCAATTTACATAGATTTGCTTTCCCATGGATATGGAAATATCAATATCAAATATATATACAAAATATTCCTTCTTTCACAAAATAGTTGTGATTTAAAAATTAAAAAAAATTGTGAAGTTCTTTGGAAAAAGTCCTGAAAAGGGAATTATTATCATTGATAATGAATGAAATTGTTAATTGATTTTCTCAATATTAAATTTTGAAATTAAGTTGTGATATATTTGACTATATAAATGCCTGTATAATCAATGTAGATTTTGTATTAATTTGAAGAATTGAAAAAAATTGAAGAAAAATTGTCCAATAAAATTTCTTAATTGTATGGTTTTCTTGATCAAATGTTGTTTTGATTCATATTAAATTAAGTCAGATTGATGTGATATGTTCAATGATTTGGAGAGAGAGAATATGTTAAGGAATTAAAAAATTACAAAATTATTACCTAATTTTTTTTACTCTTTGTTAACCTTCACCTTTAGAATCCCAACTCAAAAATCTTGAAAAATTTGTACTGAAATGAAATATTTTGTTTTATTCTGAATGTTTGTTTTCAGGGTTTGATATGTATTGTATTTGTACACTTCAGTTCCTTTCTATTTTAATTGTTTGTATACTAAATTTAGATAGCTATGTTTCCTTCTTTTTGATACAACAGATTTTTATTTAAATTTTGATTGATTGGAAAAAAAGTTAAAACAAATCTTACATATTTCAAACTTTGGTTTAATTTATATTTTTAATAAAAGGTCTAAGACTTGTCTTTGTTTTAAGTCCTTGTGGTGGTTTGAGACAGGTTTGGTTATGCTTTATTGATACCTGCACATACTAACCTTATAACACCTGTGTCTGAATAGTCAAAAACTTTCAGTGGGTGATAAATTCATGATTTGTAATCCAAACAAGTTATCAGTACATAACAAGACACATCCTTATGTACTTTCAACAGGTGCTAAGGCTTGGCATGTTTGAGGTTCATTGTGATGAGCTTGTCCGTGCTCTTGCTAAGCGTGCCGAGAGCTTGTGTCAGCGATTGCTCACCCGTATGTCAGAGGATCACAAAGAGGCTAACAAGAAGTAAGTCACGACAGTCTGTCGTATTTGTCAGGTCAATTCTAATCTTTTATCTACTTATAGCTATGATTTTTTTTATATATATCTGAGAACATTTTAACAAAGTATGAAAGAATTTAAACATAAAATTTTTACAGATAAAACAATTCAACATTTTACCATGGATATATAATGTGAGACTCTTCAGGATATTTTCTGTCAAACTAAATATTGTTCTGTGTATAACAGATTGTGTGACGATTATGAGGAGATTGCCGAGAAAGCTCTGACAACCCCCGCCAACACAGACAAATTAATGGAACTTAAAGCTTACATTGAAAATGTGGAATCTGACGTCATTTTCAAGATGGAGAAGCGTCTGATGGAATCCAAGGATCGACTCACTTTTCTGTCAGACTTTGCACAGTTCACTCCAGCAGAGATTCGACTAAATGCAAATGTCTTCATGTGGCATGGACGTATGCCCGCCATATTTGAGGAACACAAGCTGATCATTTCTGAGAAGAAATCACAGTATGAAGATGCATTGAAGGTATAAGACAATATATATATCAAAATTTACATATGCGTTGGTACATGTTGTATACTATATTTTGGTTGGTATTTTCCAGGGATTCCAGATACATTTGTATTTCCTAAACATTTCTTAATTTTCTTTTTTTTGTCCAGAAAACTTTTTTAAAATCAAAATTTGTTTCATTTACCTCATGTCAATGAATGCAAAAGCTTTCAAAACAGTTTGATCTCACTTTACTTACATAAGTGTAATTCACATACATGTTGTCTATTTTATCCACAGTTGCGTAGAGAACGATTCATGGAAGAAATGGAAAGTTACCAAAAGCAGCTGGAAGAGTTTGCAACATTTGGAGACATGAATGATATCCAGAAATATCTGAGAAAAGCCCAAGCCCTTGACAACAAACTTAATGTGGCTCAAGAAAAGGTAGATTTTTAATTGCTACACAACACTCACACAATTCTTAATATACCTCACTTGTCATATGAAATCAAAATTTTTGTATGATATACAAAATTTGAAAATGGAATTTGTTTAATAAGTCATATCTATAACAAAAGGTGGATATTTTTCCTGACTGATTAAAGCATTGATTTTAAGGAGAAAACATGTCCTCTATATGTCAGTTCTATTTTAAACAATCTTTTTATAGAAAATAGTTTTAAAAAATTGAACTTGCTTAACAGGTGATTGGAAAACATATAATTGTCATTAATAATTTATAAAACTATGTAAAAATATTCTATCTAAAATTACTGGGTAACTTCTTTTTTTTCAAAATCATTTTATTCAAGGACAAAACTTAACATTTATTTTCAAATTTACAAATGATATTGGTGTTTAAAATAGATTGAGGCCTTCAACAATGAAGAGGAAGCCTTTGGCTGGCAGACAACAGCATATCCTCAGAGACAGGGTATTATCAATACTCTGAAGCCATACCTCAGTCTGTATGAACTCACTGTTGACTTCAACAACAAGTACAAGTAAGTAGAAAACTTTACTTTTTCAGAAATTTAAATTCAATTCCTGTTCTTGAATTGGGAGAGGCAAATGCAGTTATGTCGAACTCAGAGTTGGGAACCAATTTCAACAATCTACCATTGGTGATTTTATTTCGTTACAGAATTATATCAAAGTTTACATTGATTTGAAAAATCTTAAGAGAAAGCAAACTTGAGCTCACCATCTCTATACTTATATTTGACTTTTGACTTCTATAGAGAATGGATGGATGGACCAATGAGTGGAGTAGATCCTGACGAGGTGGAACAGGATGTTGGAAACTTCTGGAGAAATCTCTATAAATTGGAGAAACAGTTTGATAGTGTCCCATCTGCAAAGAAAATAGCACACAAGGTAAAATCAAGAGGACATTGGTAAAGCAGATGTCACTTACCTGTGAAATGATTAAAGATGTCAGCCATCTTTTGTGTGCAATAGACTTTCATGAATATGCAATGGAATCAAGTTCTCAAAAGTTATTCCTTGTGAATAAAGACACTGGGTGATAAATAATGATTATTGTAATTCAAAAACTGTAAAAGATATTAGACAGAAAAGAAAGTGAAAATAAGTTCTAGAATTGTTTTTAAATCTAATTTTCTTGTGATTCATATGTGTGTTATAGTTTCAATTGTTAAGTTCAGAACAAATCAGAGGAATTCCTTGTATGTATCTGTTATGTTTGTCTGTTATAGGTTAAGGCAAAAGTAGAGGAGTTCCGAGAGCACATGCCACTTGTGAACACGCTGTTCAATCCTGGACTCCGTGACCGTCATTGGGAACAGATTTCAGAAGCAGCTTCCTTCCCTCTGAAACCAGATGACAGCTACTGTCTGTCTAAGTTTGTGGACATGAATCTGGACGCACACATACCTAGATTTGAGCAGATCAGTGAAGCTGCCAGTAAAGAATTCTCCCTGGAGAAGGCTATGGAGAAGATGAAGACAGAATGGGCTGAGGTAAGGCTGGCAACACTTTCATCATTATCTATTTTGACATCAAACTCACAAAGGTCTGATTTTTCATTTCTTCGTTAGCTTGTATATTGACAAATGCTTTTTTTCTTTCTAGATTGAGTTCACTATCATCCCATACCGTGACACAGGAACTCAGATTCTTTCATCCGTTGATGACATTCAGCTTCTCCTGGACGACCATATTGTGAAGACCCAGACAATGAGAGGATCACCATTTATCAAACCATTTGAGAATGAGATCAAGTAAGACTGATCAACATAACGATGCAGGACTTGAAAGAAAAAAACAAAAAAAAACCAACAACTTTGATCAGATAGATTTTAATCTTAAATGCCAAAAATCAAACTGTCATAATATCATTCATACTTCATACAAAATTAGGCAAAAATTTCTTGGGAGGCAGGCAGTGTCCAAATACTACATCATTTCTTTCTATAACTGTTAATGATTTAAAGCTGTCAGTAATATCACAAATTATTATAGTTATGTTGCTTAGAGATATGACAAGACAAATTCTGTTGAGGTAAAATGTATTCAGAGAAAAATTTTAATATTTAGTTTGTTGGTGGACACATAACCCAAGTTTACCATCCAATCTTTGGTATTTCAATATGTAGACATGTCCAAGCGGAAATAAAAAAAATATAGTCTATATAGGCTTTTTGTTGACTCAGGGGCCAGTGAAATTAACGTTTCGATGAAATGTAGAAAATTAATATACGTATGTATGTCAGTGCTAGTACGCTCCACACTGGTAATTTGTCTGATGAAGGTGACTGTGTAGTTATTGAAATGTCGCACTCTAATCTTCTACTGGTTATGTTACATTAACTTCTATTCTATTGACATTACCAACCAGAAGAAAATGTTCCAAAAATAGTAGTTAATGATTATTTTTATCCACAGAGACTGGGAAGGAAAGCTTATGTTACTGCAGGACATCCTTGATGAGTGGCTGAAAGTACAAGCTACTTGGCTATATCTAGAGCCCATCTTCAGCTCTCCTGACATCATGGCCCAGATGCCCGAGGAAGGACGGCGCTTCACAACTGTCGACAAGAACTGGAGGGACATTATGAAGTCTGCTGTGGTTGACAAGCATGTATTGGCTGTCATTGAGATTGAGAAAATCCTTGAAAGACTGAAGAAGTCTAATGAATTGCTGGAGCTGATCCAGAAGGTAACTATATAATCTCACAATAAATACAGTATTCAAAAGAGACAGCAGTTCTGATATCAATCAATACTTATGATACCAAAATTTTAGTGTTTAGTGTTTCCTGCTCTATACAAACTCTTTCATGCATAGAAAACTTCAGTTAACAGACTGTAAAATTAAAAACAAATATCACCCTCGTATGCTTTTTTCCATTCCTTTATGATTTATTTTACTTCTTAATTTCCACTGCTCTTTCTATTACAGGGATTGAATGACTACCTCGAGAAGAAACGTCTATTCTTCCCAAGATTTTTCTTCCTCTCCAACGATGAGCTGCTGGAAATCTTGTCTGAGACCAAAGATCCCACAAGGTAATGAAGGTTAACCATCATCAAGCTATTGATCCGTCAATGTAGCAACTCCTTATTAAGAGTGTATATGACATTGCTGTCACATGTTTCTCAACAAAAGTGTTAATATTAATGATCATTTGAATTAATCTTGATCATAGAAATCTGTACCTAAGCTCATTTTTGTACATCCATTACATATATATGTGTTTTAAAATGACTTCTAAAATTGATTAAAACTAAGATTATAGTAATTACAAATCAAAGACCTTTTTTTATATTTAATCAATAATTGATAAAAAAAATAAAACACGCTCCATCACTAAAATTTGTCACTTTATTTTTCAGGGTACAGCCACATTTGAAGAAATGTTTTGAAGGAATTGCCCGACTGGAGTTCACCGACACCTTAGACATCACCCATATGAAGAGTAGTGAGGGAGAGATTGTTGAGCTTATTGATGTGATTTCCACCTCAAAGGCTCGAGGACAGGTAGAAAAATGGCTTCTGGAACTTGAGGCTGACATGATTGCTTCACTCCACAAGGTAAGTCAGACAAATATTGAATTTAAATTTAATATATTGTGTTGAAAAAACATTTAATATGAGCATAATGTACGGTCAATGGGATTTTGTTGATATGAACTCGGATGATAGAAATAATTTCTTTCTGGTTAATATCTTTTAAATTTTGAAAGAAAATATGTTCAAATACATGGAAACATGCTGAATGTGTAATACAGAACTGATGAGATTTATGTACAAGGAATCATAATTATTTATATATTATGTGAGTTTGGCATGGATGATAACCCAGCCACATGTGGTTAAGCGTTGTGTGTACTTACAGTTCCTATCAGTTCTAACACATTTTATATTTAAATTCAAGATTTTTAAGCTTTCATTATTTTTTTATTTATTGTTGTGTTTTGATAACATTCAATAATTCCCAACTATTTTCTGAAGTATTATATATGACTTTGCAGACAACTGGCGAGGCTATCCAGGCCTACGTAAAACAGACAAGATCAGAATGGGTGAAAGTCTGGGCTGGACAGTGTGTGTTAGCTGTAACTGCTATGTACTGGACAACGTTCATTCATGAAGCATTCAAAAAAGGCGGTACCGCTCTTAATGATTACCTCCAAACCAACAACGCACAAATTGACGATATCGTAGAGATGGTGCGAGGAAAGTTGTCCAAACAGAACCGTGTCACTCTCCAGGCTCTCATCGTACTCGATGTCCATGCTCGTGATGTGCTTGCTACACTAGTCAAAAACGAAGTTGGAGATGAGATGGACTTTGCCTGGCTTAGTCAACTGCGTTATTACTGGGAGGTACGTAACCTGACTATTAAAGGAGAACCATTAAACAAATAAGGAAGTACTTTACGTATCTTGAAGTGGAAGAGTTATATAACCAGTTCTTATAAAAAGTTCAGCTTGCTTGCTTGGTATTGCATTTATCAGAAATAAGAAAATTAAATTTGACAGAAAAATCAGGTTTAGATAAGATTTTGTATTCAGATTTACTGTTAGTAGATTGTAGGGAAGTAGTTTTAAAGAAAGAAATACAAAATTATAATTTCATTTTCAATTTGAAATAAATTTATGAAAAAGAGATAATTTTAATGAAACATCTCAGAAAGGTTTGATTGTACATCACTTTACAGCAAGTTTCAGTTGATAGTTTGTGGGTATATGTAAGTGCCATCATACTGTCCTGACCTTGCAATACCAATGAACCCCAAAAAAAAAAGTCTCAAACTCAGAAAGTACTGTACAGTGTAGACAGGTATAAAAGACTTCACTAGCTGAGTGTATCTTACTATCTGCTGTACCTTCCTTTGTCAATAAACTATATCATTTTGTTTACTATCAGGATGATCGTATGATCACACGTATGATCAACTCTATGCTGAAGTATGGCTATGAATATCTTGGCAACACTGGACGTCTTGTCATTACTCCATTGACTGACAGGTGTTACAGGTAAGTTGTTACTGTTAAATTCTGTTATGCTACCTGACTTTTTCTCTCTGTTAGAATATTTTTAAGAAATTTAATTTCAAATTTTGATTTATACAGCTCATGAAAAGTAAATACCTAGGAAATTCGAGATTTTGATGAAAACTTGTTCCATTCTTTTTAGAACCCTGTTTGGTGCTCTCCACCTCCATCTTGGTGGGGCTCCTGAAGGACCTGCTGGAACCGGGAAAACTGAAACAACAAAAGATCTGGCAAAGGCCGTCGCTAAACAGTGTGTTGTCTTTAACTGCTCTGATGGTCTTGATTTCATTGCCCTGGGAAAATTCTTCAAGGTAATTCCTGGATATTTGTAAATTGGTAAATACAGACAATAAAAAAAGCAAAAGTGAGCCTATGTCTATGATGGTGTGTGACATACTGAATATTTTTGTTGTATGGTTTGGCCTCCAGATGGTGTGTAACACAATGAGTATTATCTTTGTTAATTTGGCCTCCTGATGGTGTGTAACACAATGAATATTGTTGTTGTATGGTTTGGCCTCCTGATGGTGTGTAACACAATGAATATTATCTTTGTAGGGTTTGGCCTCTTGTGGTGCCTGGTCTTGCTTTGATGAGTTTAACCGTATTGACCTTGAGGTGTTGTCAGTCGTGGCCCAGCAGATCCTCACCATCCAGAGAGGTTAGTGCATACAGAGTAGTGGTCAATTTCTATCCATATGACATATCAAATTTGTCATAACTTGTCCTAAATATAGAAGCTCTTTCCAAGGGCCTTGTTAAAAGATATAATTCATAAATTTTGTAAAAGATATAAAAATAATCTTAAAATGCCAAAAACTTAAGTAACAAATCATAGAAAAATATTAAAGTGTTTATCTGTGTCATCTAATTTTCAAGTGATTTTTTAAAATCTGATTAATGTGATATTAAGCAATTTTTAGATATGACAGAATTTAATCAGAAGAAAAAGAAGTTAAACATGCAGACAATACAAAACACATGAGTTCTTTTTTTTTTTTTTGAAAGTTTCAAATGTGTTTGTATTTGGAGCATAAACAGAAAAGAATAGAACTAACTCTGTATCACTTATAAGTACAATACTTTGAACCCTAGGTATTAATGCCGGAGCTGATCGCATGATTTTTGAGGGCACAGAGATCAGATTGGATCCAACTTGTTCCGTGTTTATCACCATGAACCCTGGTTATGCCGGTCGCTCTGAACTTCCCGACAACCTGAAGGTAAGTTTTCTCTGACATAAAATTTTTGTGCAAATCTTGTACTCCAATTCAGAAAAGAGAAATAGATTATCATTAACAACAATGATTTGCTGATTTTTGCACTTAATTTACTAGTTACACAATTTGCTGATTTTTATATTTTAGGCGTTGTTCCGTACCGTGGCTATGATGGTGCCAGATTACGCACTGATTGCTGAGATTTCCCTGTACTCCTGTGGATTTGTGCACGCTCGCCCCCTCTCAGTCAAAATTGTGGCTGTGTACCGTCTCTGTTCTGAACAATTGTCATCACAGCATCATTATGATTATGGCATGCGAGCCGTAAAGTCTGTCCTGACTGCTGCCGGTAATCTGAAGGTAAGCCTATGATAACACACCTGTTCAAATGAATCCTCTTTATTTTCTGTATATATTTTGTAAACATGAATGAGATCCTGGAAAATAAGTCCAACAGTATTTAAAATCCTTTAAATATGATATTGGTGATAGTTTTGATGAATCTGGTATGAAATGGAGATCAAAAGGTGATATTTTGCCCATATGATACAATACATACATTTCCTTGACGATTGATGTCTATTGTCTCTGTTGAGATGTCAGCCATGTATGTGGGATGCAATTTCAATATCATTTTGTGACATTAAAACAACATATATAGGTCATTGAAAAGGTGTTCATACTCAGATAAATGACATGACTTTGGTTTTAAGACATGTTCCTGTGCAACGTGATCTAGTCAATTGATAAAATACTATCTTTAACTAACATCTGTTTGTTTTACTTACAGTTGAAATACCCAGAAGAGGACGAGAATGTGCTGATGTTGCGTTCAATTATTGACGTAAACTTGCCCAAGTTTTTGAGCCATGATCTGCCACTGTTCCATGGTATCACCTCAGATTTGTTCCCAGGAATCAAATTACCACCCCCAGACTACGTTGTTCTGAATGAAGCCATCCAGTCTAACTGCACCAAGCTGAACTTACAGTGTGTTGACTTCTTCCAAGAGAAAATACAACAGGTAGGATGTTGAAATTGATTTCAGATTGAAACTAAATTTTAGTGATTAAGGTATTTACTGTCAGACCTATGATGTTGTGATTACATACACATGGGTTCAGATCTGTGATGTCATCAGTGTTTAAATGACTACAACTGAATCTAAAGCCATGATGTAGGCTAATTCTTTCAACAAATTTTAATGGGAATAATTTTTTATTTACAAAGTTATGTATACTTATTTGTTTTTTCCCACAAGTACTGTCATTCACAAATTCAAATCTAGAGCACAGACTTTGATTTTAATTGAATATTGAAGGGGAATCTCTGACATCACAAATCAAAAGTATGACATTTTTATATGTTTAAATTACCTGCCTTGTCCTTCAGAGCAGTAACTATTATTACCATTTTACAGTAACTTGTTATGGTGGCTTGACATATTGTTTTATTTCTTTTTCAGATTTATGAAATGATGATTGTCCGTCACGGTTTCATGATCGTGGGTGAGCCTTTTGGTGGCAAAACCAGTGCTTATAAAGTTCTGTCTCATGCTCTTGGAGATATTCACGAAAAAGTAAGTTTCTCTTGACAATGCTCAAGTATGGAAATCCTGATACTGGTCTTTGTTACATGTAATAGCACTTCATTGTAGATATATATACCTCGGATAGATTCTACTCAACCTTGAATTTTTAATATATTTTTTTATATAAATGATATGGAGGATAATTGTTTGTCTATAATGATGGTTTGAAGCCTGGTAATAGGCAAAAAAGAACAAATATAATTTTTCTAATGTTTGCATTCATTTTCAGGGTTTGATGGACGAGAATAAGGTGCAGATTACAGTTCTTAACCCCAAGGCTGTTACTATGGGTCAGCTTTATGGTCAGTTTGACCCTGTCTCCCACGAGTGGTCAGATGGAATCCTAGCTGTGTCCTACCGTGCCTTCGCTACGTCAACGGTTTGTAAAAACTTTATTTTGTCAATAATCATAACTGTTTCCCTCTGATATTGTTTCTTCCTGTAACCAGGACTTGGAAACATTATATTCTCATCTCATTACATTGGTGATGTTTCATGACTTTTGTATAACAGCTTTGAATAATTATTTTGTTTCCTGTTATCAGAAAGTCACTAGCCATATATCTTAATTTTCCAAAGTCTGTTGGTCTTGTTTTAATTGTAAATAAACACATGCACTCTAACTTATAAAACTGAAACTTTCACAAACATGCCTAACATGAAGACTGGTCATTATGATGTCTTTATTCGATATTTCATTTACTGTAACAGAAATAAAATTTTCGTTTTTGTGCAGACCCCCGACAGGAAGTGGTTGATCTTTGACGGTCCAGTTGATGCCATCTGGATTGAAAACATGAACACTGTGCTTGATGACAACAAGAAGCTATGTTTGATGAGCGGTGAAATCATTCAGCTGGCCAATACCACCAATCTGATGTTTGAGCCCATGGATCTGGAAGTAGCTTCCCCTGCTACAGTAAGTATTCAGGAAATCTGATACCATGAAAAGGGGCTGGATGGTAAACAGTGTTACTGATGTCTGTCTAGCCCATTCTGAATCAATATTTTGAGCACATTCCAACAGATTAAGTTTACCTAGAAGTTGGGGCATCGTCTGCCTTTTCTGGTTACTTATTATTCTGTCTGATTCAACACACATCTTTATAGGTTGAAAAAGAAGAGAAATGGTGACAGCAAGATTGAAATAAAGTGTTTAACTTTGAAAGGAACAGGTGGGAAGTAATCAACCTCTGCCAATCTGTTAGCATTATAATGCCATTATACTGAAAAAAATAAAAGGAATTCTTTCTGTTTGTGTTGAAATACTGCTACATACAATCTTCATTAAGCACATTTTTCTGTACCGCTGTTGTTGTCTCCCTACAATAGGTATCTCGCTGTGGCATGATCTACATGGAACCGTCCTCAATGGGATGGCGGCCAATTGTCAAGTCGTGGCTTCATCTGATGCCGCCTACACTGACAGAAACCCACAAGTCCACCATCAATGATATGTTTGAGAGATTTGTTGATGCCTGCATTCAGCTGGTCAGGAAAGGTGGAGTCGTTGTAAGTTACCACAAAATATTAGGATATAATGTTTTATGATTATAAATACTTCTGTTATCAGTCAGTCAGGCTCAATATCTTTACCACACTGAATTAAGTTGGAGGAAATTTGTGTTTGGTGTATTCAGTCATCATATACTACACTTATTGCACCTGGACACAAAGATATTGTTCAGAGCAGGAGATTTTGAAACAAAAAAAGAGAATATTTGTAACCTGGACGTCCATCAGGTCAGATATTTGATGCGGAACTGGAGATAATTAGCTTTTTCCTGAAACATCACATTGATATTACCTCCCATAACCAGTTCACAGGCAAGAGTGGTACTTGATTGCTGTTTAAAGTTTTAAATATTTTTTCCTCATAGGAACTTTCACCAACCACCGATATTGCTTTGGTGAATTCTCTCATGAATCTGATGGACTCGTTGATGGATGAATTCCATGATGAGGCTAAAATCTCACAGATGGAAGAAAGGGAGATCATCACATGGCTTGAGGTAAGATATCATACAACTTGATATATGTTGGAATAGAAATGATATCTTGAGTAGACTTATTCTCTTAGTTTCTTTGTTTGGTTTTGTTTAAAGTAATGGCTAATCGATACAAAATTTCAATTAACAATTCTATTGAATTGATATTCTCATATTACAACCAAATAGAAAGAAGAACATGTAAATCAAAACATGTGTTACCAACTGGAAGTAAATGTTCGCATTTTCTTCATTTATAGACATGAAATTATATACTCCTTTATGTTTTACTTAACATCCCATAAATATGTACAAAAGGACAGATTACTGATGGATATGTTCGTATATATAGATCTGAATTAAAAAATGCATAGGTCCATTATTCAATGATTTTCCACTACAGTTGTGAGTTTTTGGTGTTTAATTCGAAATTAAGTATAGGACTGTTCAAGTTCAGTTAAATAATTGTAATTGAGTTTGAGTGTTTTGTTTTTTGTCACCTGATTGTACTTTCCATGTCTTTATATCTACGATCACTGAAGTAATATTGATCTTCTTACAGAGTATTTTCTTCTTCGCCATTACATGGTCTATTGGTGGGAGCTGTTCTGATGACGGTCGTGTCAAATTTGACAAAATACTTAGAGAACTGATTTCTGTAAGTTGTTTGAAAGTTTTACTTTCTAATTATGTAAAATACAATATTCACTTAATATATGAAATTTCTGTAGATGTGGTATTTGTCGTTTTAATAAATGATAAAAGTCTATGATGTCTGTCTTTCTCACAATTGACATTAAGATTTTTTTGAAAATAGGCTTTACTTACTATCATTACTGATGGTGTGTATTAAACTCAATTTTTGATGATAAAGGATTTTAATTGTACAGGAGTACTTGTGTTAATCATAACATGTTCATGCTTATTCAGGGTGGAATGACGGAGGATACAAGAATAAAAATAAGTTTACCAGAGCTTGTAGACCCACCCATGAAACCATACCTAAATCCATTCCCACCCAAGGGCCGAGTGTATGACTACAGGTTCATAAAGGAGGTAAACTGATGTTTCATGTTCAAAAGTTCACCTTTACAAATAGAGAAAATATTTAATTCTGAGCAGGTTGATTTTTAAAGCATTGATTTAAAATGAATTAGATAATCTAGATTTTGTGATTATGGAGACTTAGATGTCCTAGAATTGAATGATTCCGAGGATTGAAATATTGAAGATGTAGAATATTGGAAGATTCAGATGTAGATTTTGTAAAATTGGATGATTTGGACTTAGATATTGTTAAATTGGATGAATCACAACGTAGATGTGGTAGAATTGGATGATTCAGACTTTGGTGATCCAGATTTCCAAGGTTTAGACTTTGATGATGTAGATTTGAATGACTGGAAATTTATGATAAAAATCTTTTTGTTTTAGGGATCTGGAAGATGGGTACAGTGGTCCGAGGAAATCAAGGACTCTCCTCCAATCCCCAAGGAAGCAAGTTTTAACGAGATCATTGTTCCAACAGTGGACACAGTGCGATACACAGCACTCTTAAACATGCTTCTCACACACAAGAAGCCAGTCCTATTTGTGGGCCCCACTGGTACAGGCAAAAGTGTCTACGTGGGCGTAAGTGTTACTGAAATTTTTCTCTCATTTCTAGGTAAAGGTCATGTCAGTATCTCCATTCAAGGAAATTTTCACCATCTTAATTCTTTTCAAAATCAGTTTTTTGAAAATCTGTCTAAAAAAAAAATAAAAACTCAATACATAACAGGCAGGAGATCTTTTGGATGTTAAATTAGACTTACATCTTTGTCTGGGTCGTTAGATATATCTGGAATTGTCCAGTATGATAAAATCTTGGTCAGTTTCACAAAACACTGTACAGTTTCATTGATATATGTTTATATCCAATTTGTAGGACTTCCTGCTCAACAAGCTGGATAAGGAACTATACAAACCCAACATTCTGAACTTCTCAGCCCAGACCACAGCCAACCAGACACAGAACATGATTATGTCCAAGCTGGACAGACGTAGAAAGGGTGTGTTTGGTCCCCCTCTTGGCAAGACAGCGGTCAGTATCTGTTAAATCTAGAGTATTTTTCAAATGAACAGAAATTTTTGTTTTTAGATATACTTTGAAAGCATGTCATAATATGTACAGAAATTCAAAACATTAAAAAATGAAATTGATGATAAGTATTGAATATTTTTAACAACAAAAGTGAAATAGACTGCAGTATTTGTAGCTAAATAAAATGTAAGGACATTTTCAAATCTTGTTCCTGGAAGTTTAACTTCGATATCAAAGTCTCTTTTCATTAATTTTGTAGTTGGTGTTTGTTGATGATTTGAACATGCCGATGCGAGAGACCTTCGGTGCTCAGCCACCTATTGAGTTGCTGCGTCAGTGGCAGGATCACTGGAACTGGTACGACTTAAAGGAAATCACAGCCATGAAACTGATAGATATACAGCTGGTAGCAGCCATGGGACCACCAGGTGGTGGGCGTAACCCCGTTACACCCAGATTCCTCCGTCATCTCAACACCATTACCATCAATGAGTTTGACGATGAAACTATGATCACCATATTTAAAAGGATTATGGAGTGGCACATCTCCTCTAGGTATATAAAACATAGCAAGCGTCACTTACTACAGAATATCGTAGCAGCAATAGACTGGAATATCATACTTCACATTGTAATCACACAAACACTACTTATGAATGATGGGGAAAATGCTCATTATGATCTATTTATATTAAAGTGTACATTTGATTACATGAATTTGTATATTTAACCATGAATCAGAGACTATTGACAAGGCTAACTACATGGTTTATTGATGCCTACTCTTGACCAATCAGTCTTTATCAATAAAAAAATCACATTTATTCTTCTTTTTGTTACAGAGGATTCAGTAATGAGTTCAAGCCATGCGTAGAACAGCTTGTGCTTGGCACACTGACCGTTTACAAGGAAGCCATGAAGAATCTGTTGCCCACACCAACCAAATCACATTATCTATTTAACCTGCGAGATTTCAGCAGAGTCATACAGGGGGTACTCCTATCCACCCCAGAAACGATGGAGGAACCTGCATCCATGAAAAGACTTTGGGTCCATGAGGTGTGTACTATATGATGTTTTACCAGCAGAAATGTACCATCAGATATGGTGGTAGTGGTTTGGGTTCACTGTAGAATCCCGATAATAACTTCTGAGGGAACGTATTTTATTTTATAAATTTTAGTTATATTTTAATATTTTAGCTTTTGTAAAGAGTTATTGTTTTCAAATTTTAAGTTTTAGTTTTAAAAAGATTTAAGATTGAATTATTAAAAGATAGAATCGATGTAAATCTTTCTAAACAGCAAAATAGATAGAAATTAATCCATATTTTATTTTATATTCAATACATGTGATCCAGAAGCTTTTCTAAACATAAATGTTTATCTTAGTTGTGTTTGGTTTACCGTCATTCAATTCTACATAATATTACAGGTGTTCAGAGTCTACTATGATCGTCTGGTTGATGATGCTGATAGGAACTGGCTGTTTACTTATGTGCGTGAAGTGTGTAAAACAGAACTCAGAGAGGACTTTGATCAGTTGTTTATCCATCTGGATTTTGATAATGATGGCAAAGTTACGGAGGACGACCTGCGTAGTTTAGTGTATTGTGATTTCGCAGATCCAAAATCAGACTCAAAACATTACGTGGAGGTTCGAGATCTGGAAAATCTACGGGTAACAGTTGAAGGATATCTGGATGAATTTAACAACATGAGTAAAAAACCAATGAACCTTGTACTTTTCAGGTAATTCATTAAGCATTACTTAGAGTTTAAGCATCAATTTTAGACTAATCTTTATAAAAACATGAAGTTCTGCTATAAAAAAAAAAATCAACTTTAAAATGATATCTTTGTTTTTACCAAAAGGTGACTGCATGTATGGCGATTTCTATTGGGGAAAAAATAACTCAATGACTCTACAATATTTCTTTTGAAAATAATTTCACACATAGTTCTCATGTTTTTTTTTATGTTTTCTTCAGATTTGCTATAGAACATGTGTCCAGAATTGCTAGAATCATTAAACAGCCTAGAAGCCACGCTCTTCTTGCCGGAGTTGGTGGCTCTGGACGTCAGTCACTTACCCGACTTGGTGCACATATGGCAGACTTCGATCTGTTCCAGGTCAGTAAGATATCAGTATCAAGTTTAAGACTAATTCAACAATAGGTGAAAATTAAGACAAAAACACACACAAAAAAAAGTTCAAAATTCAGAGCTTAACAGAAATCATATTTGATCCTATGTTGATCGTGCTTGATGGCAATGACCCTACCATCCCAATACTGGTATAATTATGGTGGTAAACACTTTCTGTGCCTTGTAACAAAGTATCATATTAATATCAATGGTGCTTGTTTTTTAGGTTGAACTCTCCAAAAGTTACGGAACTCCTGAGTGGCGTGAAGATCTAAAGAGAATTTTACGTAAATCAACAGAAAGTGAAAGTCATGGTGTCTTCCTGTTCTCCGACACCCAGGTAAAAATCATAATCGAAACTGAGCAAAGGTTTAGAAATAACAGTTCTATGTAAATGAAGTTGTAATATCTGGAATGTACCTGAAATAATCGAAATATCGCAAAGAAATCTGACATTTTGAACAGCAGAGACTCAGATTTACATAGATATATTTTCTTTTAATTTAATATTAAAGAAATTTAGATAGGATTTCTGTTATGATTGCAGAGTAAAAGTTTTCAATAAAAAATTAATAGGTATTCACAGATTGTATTTTATTATTCAATATTAAAGAAAGTCATATCTAATGCTGTTGTTTATCATGTTGAAAAGTAAACACTGAGATATTTATTTATAGATCAAACAAGAGTCCTTCCTTGAGGATATTAACAACTTATTGAATGCTGGTGAGGTGCCAAACCTTTTCGCTATTGATGAAAAGCAGGAAATTTGTGAAAAGATGCGGCAGTTAGATAGACAGAGGGACAAAACAAAGCAAACTGATGGAACACCTGTGGCTTTGTTCAACTTCTTCATCTCCCGAGTACGAGACCAGCTACATATTGTACTGGCCATGAGTCCTATAGGTGACACCTTCCGAAGCCGACTCAGGAAATTCCCCTCCCTTGTCAATTGTTGTACCATTGATTGGTTCCAGGTAAGTTACCATAACAACGTAATGTTTATATTATACAGGTATATTACCTTCTTATTCTTGTAACACAAACAAAAATATAAAAAATGGTACCCAAATGGAGACTTTTGGATTTGATTTTTTTCTGTATTTCGAATATTTTGACTGCACTTAATACAGAATGTCTTGAATGTAATGACAGTTTCTACATCAAGTTAAAAAGTTGGAAAATGCTTTCCAAGTTTTCATGGTACAATCCTGCATTGTTATAAAAAATATCATTTCATTGTGTAAGACTTATATAAGATATTGAAGAAATTCAGTATTTGATTCAATAATACATGTGAGGTTTTTGTCTGTCCTCTGCTGATACATTGTATGTTTGTGGTTAGTCGTGGCCAGAAGATGCCTTGCAAGCTGTAGCTTTGCGGTTCCTGGAGGATGTTGAGCTTGGTGAGGAGGAGCGTGTAGGATGTACCACAATCTGTAAACTATTCCACACATCCACACGAGAGTTGTCATCTCGCTTCTATCTGGAATTAGAGCGACACAACTATGTGACACCCACATCCTACCTTGAACTCATTAGCACTTTCAAATCTCTTCTAGACAAAAAGCGACAGTAAGTCTGTTCAGAATTTCTTATCAAATGATCTAGCAACAATAAAAGTTGAATTTGTAGTTCTAAATGGATTCTTCTGAAACCTGTCTTCATCAAAATGTAATTTATTCAAGATTTGGGGAAAGAAGTACAGACCCTTTAGAATCATAAAATCACTTCAGATATCATAGAGAGTTAAGTTTATTCTAGGTCAAGTCATGTCTGTTTTGTAGACAAAAGCTTCACACTATTTTTGGAATTTTACTGACATTCTAAGTAACCTCATATTCAAAATAATGATTTAAAAAAATGATGATAAAAGTAAATTATTTCTTTTTTCTTCAATTTAGGGAAGTTCAGAAGCAGAAAAGGCGATATGAGGTTGGTCTTGAAAAGCTGCAGTCAGCTGCCTCTGAGGTCGCAGTGATGCAGAAAGATCTGACAGACTTACAGCCACAGCTGGTTGTCGCCAGTAAGGAAGTTGATGAGATAATGGTGGTCATTGAAAAGGACTCTGTGGAGGTGGCCAAAGTAGAAAAGGTAAAATATAAAATAAGTGAGGCCTAAACAACAAAGGCGTTAGGTTTACAAGGAAATCCTGGAGTCTGTAACAGGTCAGTTATATATATAATAAGACAGGGCCAAAACATCTCACAAAGCCTGATTGGTTATATATGATTGGCCAATATATATCACAAAAATAGTAAAAATCTTATCTGCAAAGACTCATTTCTGAAGTAGTTTTGTTATAACATAATTTGTATATTTATGAAATATTAATATTTCCCTTTTACAAGAATGAATGCAAATGTAAGCATATAAAAAATCATTTGTATTAAGTTATTTGAGTAAAAACTGCTCTACTGTACACAGACATCAAATAAGAAATAAACTTTACAGGTTGTGAAAGCTGACGAGGCAGTAGCGAACGAACAAGCTAAAGGAGCCAAAGCAATTAAAGATGAATGTGATGCTGACCTGGCAGAGGCTATCCCTGCTCTCAATGCTGCCTTATCTGCTTTGAACACACTCACTGCACAGGACATTACAGTCGTGAAAACAATGAAAAGTCCCCCATATGGCATCAAACTGGTGCTGGAAGCAGTGTGTGTCCTCAAAGGTATCAAACCTGAGCGTATACCAGACCCAAGTGGCTCAGGGAAAAAGATTGAGGACTACTGGGGCCCCTCCAAGAAAATGTTGGGCGACATGAAATTCTTAGAAAGTCTGAGAGAGTTTGACAAGGTAAATAGAACCCTATTGTCAGTACAAAACATGCTCTGTTGGTATCCATTGTAATTTCTTAATATAGATTTATTCAAATACTAATTGTCAAATTTGAATCAGTCATTCCTTCATAATAATTTTTTTATTTTCAAGTTTTTCATGACAATTAACAAACCTGACCCTTGTGAAATTTTACAGGATAACATACCAGTGGCTTACATGAAGCAGCTACGTGCCAAGTACATGAATAATCCTGAATTTGACCCTGACAAGGTCCGAAATGCCTCCACTGCCTGTGAAGGTCTGTGTAGATGGTGTCGCGCCATGGACGTGTATGACAGGTAATTTTACTAAGAGAAGCTGACAGATTTGATAAAATGCTTGTTTGGGTCTAAATATCACATCAGGTTACATTTCGGCAACTCTAAAGATAATTTCGAGTGCAACAGTACTGAAATGCACTGAATTTTGTAAGGTAGTTTGTCATGTTGCCTGATCTTTATTTGGAAAAAAGCTTACTAGGTCTCTGTCATATTAGGTAGGGTCTATACAGGTGTCAGAGGCTGATGTTTTCTATAGACAAGTTTAAACATGTCTTTCATAATGATTAGTTATTATTGAAATGTCTGATATGTAGTTTTCTTATTGTTCATACTTAATCTTTCCGTTGACAGAGTGGCAAAGGTTGTTGCTCCCAAGAAGATCAAACTGAAGGAAGCAGAAGGAGAGCTTGCGACTGCCATGGCCTCACTGGAGAAGAAGCGAAGCTCACTACGAGAGGTCCAAGACAAACTTGCCAAGTTGCAATCAACTCTTGAGAATAACAAGAAAAAGAAAGTGGACCTAGAGAACCAAGTAGACATGTGTACAAAGAAATTAGAGCGAGCAGAGCAGCTGATTAGTGGACTCGGTGGAGAGAAAGATCGGTGCGTTTGAGAAATTTGTCTCTCCTAATAGAACCACATGTAACAGTTAAGAGTGCTGCTGAACTTAAATAAAAAGCTTTTAATCCTAGATTGGGAAAGAATATTTAGATAATACTTGTAGAAAGTCATGTCTCAGTACAAGTTACAGTAAATCTCAGTAAAAGTTTTACTGAAATAATCATTTTACTAGTCCTAGTTTTCCTACATAGAACATTTTGTTATTATGTTACTTTCTATTAAATCTTCCAGAAGTGAAATGCACTTGATGTTTCCCTTCTTTAAAATCTCAAATTCTTTCTCAAAATTTCAATATCTGGTAGTTTCATCAGGTTTTTTAATTATGAGCTATTTTAACATGTACTGTTATCTTTATACATGTGTTATCTCCCTTTGTACAGATGGGGTCAGGCAGCTCGACGCCTTGGTATCCAGTACAATAACCTAACAGGAGACATCCTCGTCTCTTCTGGAATTGTTGCTTATTTAGGAACCTTTACATCGGCCTTCAGACAAGTAGGTTTAGTTTAATTAGTAACTGTTAAGTATGAATGAGCACAGATCAGTAGTCTGTATTTTGTGTTGGTTGTAGTTTTCAAAATGTAGATATTGTTATTGCCCTTTCTTTCTTATTACTCTAAATTCATTTGATGTCAGATCGTGTAGACACTCGTGATAAACTAATAGACAGACTTTTCATAGAAAATATTCATGAACAATATAACTTGTTACAAACTGATTCCTAACATTATCTACCTACAGGACCAGACCCAAAGCTGGATAGAGTCCATCAAGAGCAACGGTATTCCTTGTTCCAGTGATTTCTCTCTGATTAATACCCTGGGAGAACCTGTTAAGATTCGTGCCTGGAACATTGCTGGACTCCCAACAGACAGCTTCTCCATAGAAAATGGAATCATGTTGTCGTAAGTTTTTGCAATACTAAATAGCAGACTCATAGAAATACAATTGATTTAAAATTTTTCAAATTCTTAAGTAGTATATGTTTATACAAAACAAGCTATTCTCTAGGTTAACATTTTTAAAAAATACTTGCTGTTCAATGAATTTTGACTCCTGTCTACTATTTTTGGTTTTCATCTCACCAGCGACTTTTCATATTGCAAAGCAAGACTTTTGTGTTACTTTTCTGGTGGTGAGAGTAGTAAAAATTTCCCTTTGAGGTTTTGTGTTTAGAGCCTACACTCAAAAAGTGTTATCCAACTTATATAATGACTTGGACTATCCAACTTTTAACATACATTTCAGAGTATTTTTTTCTAAAAGACTACAATACTTAAAAAGCAGAACAAGTGAGACATTTTACAGTATCTGGTTTTGTGAAACTGTAGCAGGATTGCCTTAACATGTTACATGTTTATTTTTTATCAGAAATGCCCGTCGTTGGCCATTGATGATTGATCCACAAGGACAGGCAAACAAATGGATCAAAAACATGGAAAAGGCAAACAACCTTCATTGTATCAAACTCAGTGATGGCGACTTTGTCCGAACATTGGAGAATTGTATCCAGTTTGGAACTCCGGTAAGACATGCTTTGTTTGGTAACAAAATATTCACCACACTTTTGATTTTTTTTAAGAAGCATGTTTGATTTAGTTTATATGAATATTATGTTGATGAGTACTGTGGTTATATACTTACAGGTTCTACTAGAAAATGTACAGGAAGAGCTCGACCCTCTACTGGAACCACTGCTGTTGAAACAGACCTTCAAACAGGGTGGTAGTATCTGTATACGACTTGGTGATAGTACCATAGAGTACTCCCAGGACTTCAAGTTCTATATCACAACCAAGCTACGAAATCCCCACTACCTCCCAGAGACCTCTGTCAAGGTACGTAAAATAGAAGCCAGGAAATCTTCACCATAGAGGCCATGGAAACAAAATTATGATCATATTTAAATTTACATCAGTATTGAAATATTTATCAAAGGACAACTTAATAATCTTGACAATGTGAAGTTTATACTGTCGAGTTCAATGTCAGACATCTTTACTGTCTTCAGGTGACCCTGCTGAATTTCATGATCACACCAGAGGGACTTGAGGATCAGTTGCTAGGTATTGTTGTTGCTAAGGAGCGTCCAGAACTGGAGGAGGAAAAGAATGCTCTGATCATACAGAGCGCCACAAACAAGCGCCAACTGAAGGAAATTGAAGACAAAATTCTGGAAGTATTGTCTTCTTCAGAGGGCAATATTCTAGAGGATGAAACAGCCATTAAAATCATGTCCTCATCCAAAACCTTGTCAGATGAAATTTCAGAAAAACAGGTGTGTCTAATTGTGAAGCACATTTTTCAGTCTTTGATATTTTTTTTATAAAATTGTGTATTTACATTCAAAGCTTTCATAAAGACTACTTGTCTGACTGTTCTGACTAGATAGAAATGTATTCCCATATCCCATGTGACGTCTGAGAGATGTCGCAGTTAAAAGGGAATGCTTGTTTCCTTTCTGACACCTATAAAAGTCTTCTTTTTTCCTCTGACCCTTTAAAATGCTTTAAAGACAGATTTTACTATACTTGTCAAAAGTTTTGACAGGGCACATGCTATGAAATATCTAGATATAAAATTGGTTTGTTTTATTCTATTAGGTCAGTTTGCTATTTAATGAATCTTAGAGTGTATGCTTTGCATGCAATGGATGTGTGTTCTGTCTTTTTCTGTACTCATAAATAGTTTTGTGATATCAATATTCATTTTGTGCTGTTTTAGGCAATTGCAGAGGAAACAGAGAAAAAGATTGACAAAGCTCGTCTTGGCTACAAGCCTATTGCCATCCATTCCACCATCTTGTTTTTCTCAATTGCTGATCTGGCCAATATTGAACCCATGTACCAATATTCTCTAACCTGGTTCATCATGCTCTTCGGAATGTCAATTGAGAATGCAGAAAAGTCCGATGATCTGGAGAAACGTTTGAAAAACCTGCACAACCATTTTACCTATTCTCTGTATTGTAACATCTGTCGGTCTCTGTTTGAGAAGGACAAGGTAAGCGAATCCTTGAAAGTTATCTCCCTTGTTAAGTGTCTTGCCAAATGTACATCTTTTTCATGACGAAATTGTGCAGAAATGTTATAAAAGAAAATATTCTCAACAGATTGACAAAAACTTCTACAGAATTTAGGAGAAAAAGTGGGGAAAAAAATCCTGGTTGTGCAAATGATAAAAAAAACCCATGATCTATTTGATAAAGGAAAAATTGCAGAATTAACTTGGAAATCAAATTTCCTTATTTCTTTCAGCTGCTGTTCTCATTCTTGTTGGCTGTCAACATTCTTAAACATGACAAACTGATCAATGAAGAAGAATGGCGGTTCCTCTTGACTGGAGGAATAGGTCTGGATAACCCACACAGCAACCCTACCTCCTGGCTGCCATCCAAATCATGGGATGAGATCTGCCGTCTTGACGACCTTGAACATTTCAAAGGAATTCGGCAAAAGTTTCTTACACAGAAAGATCAATGGAGGGAGATGTACGACTCACTGGTATGTTTGTCTGAAAATTCTTAGAGCCCTTCATTTCTCCGCCATGTTATAGGGGACATAATGTGTTACCCTACTCTGTCACATCACATTTAAGGGACCTTAATCAAACCTTATATTTCAAGAATGATAATACCTTAAATGAGTGCATGTCGCACGGTCCATAGGTCAAGGTCATTGTTACTATTTATATAAAAGCTAAAAGATGAAATAACATCACTCAAATTGACTTAATTTCCTTGAGGGCCTTTGATTTCACTTTACACAAAGGTCAGAATGCCTAAATGACTTTGTGTTTTAATGTCACTTGTATTGTTTCTAGAAAGTTGTTATGCAATGATACATAGAAGCATTATCACAGAGGCAGCCATTTTCTAATTACCACTGTATTCATATCTAAATTGTGTATGAATATATATTATAAAGCTTTGAACCTGGTTTGATTTTTTCTCATGCTACTTGTTTTAGGAGCCCCAAAATGCTAAGATGGCAGGTGATTGGGAAGAAAAACTCCAGAAATTCCAGAAGATGTTGGTTCTCCGATGTCTTCGTCCAGATAAGGTAAGACATGTAAATCAGCTGTACACATTAACTTTAACTTTCATTCAGGTATTGTCCAATCATTAATAGATAATTCTACAAACAACTTGAAGCATAATACATGGGGTTGTTTTCACAGAAAAGAAATTCTGTTTTCTCTGTTGATTTTATTTTTTACTCAAGTGATCGTTATTTTTATAATTTCAATCCAAAACTGACCAAAGAGAACCACATAAAAATAGCCACTTTAAGTGAATTTGTGTTTTTATATACATGTTTACACATGTCTATTGTTAGTTATTAGTGCCATGATGATTATTGTTATGTATGACTGATTGTGAAGAAGTAGTTAAAACATTCACATTATTTTAGATAATTGTAAAAAATAATTTTCGTTCTGTTTTTACAGGTCGTCCCAGCTGTCCAAGATTTTGTGGCAGAGAAAATTGGGAAGAAGTTCATTGAACCACCTCCCTTTGACCTTCCCAAAGCTTTTGCTGACAGTACATGTGCTGCTCCTCTCATTTTCATTCTGTCTCCTGGTGCAGATCCGATGTCGTCTCTCCTCAAATTTGCCGATGATCAGGTGGGTGCACTGATGATACAGATAGTTCAATGATACAGATATAGTACATAGGGATGTCCTTGATGTCCTAGTTCTTCAGTCTTGGATTGTTCAGATTTACCTCAACTTATTTAGTGACTTAGATTTTTAAAGATACTCCAACATTAAGCCAAGTTAGCTTTTATCATTTTCAAACATCAACATCAGATAAATGTTTAGATGGAGGGGACTGAGGAGGAGGGACTCATTCACACATCCTTAAATCTCACCATTTGTCAATTAATAAATCCATATACCACATGATGGACTGTTTTGATTTTCCTTGTGTAAATTTCATCTCTATTGATAACACAATTTGCTGTTAGAAGATCAAATCATATCATGAAAAACAATCTATTGACTTTTATTTTTATCATAGCTTTTATTAAATACAATTTTGTTTCATTTTTGTTTTCTGTTTTCTTCATACTTTTGATGATGTAAGAACCTTGAGTTAAGATTTTGAAGATTTAGCCAGATGTTGACTCTTTACTTGAATGCTTATTCATACCTGGATGATGATGTTTCCTTCCAGGGATTTGGTGGGGCCAAATTTGACTCCCTGTCTCTAGGACAAGGTCAGGGGCCAATCGCTATCAAGATGATTCAGAAAGGAGTGAAGGAAGGGACTTGGGTGATGTTGCAGAACTGTCATTTGGCACCATCTTGGATGCCTACCCTGGAGAAAATTTGTGAGGTAAGACATCATAGAATGTGATGACTTCCTGAAAATGATCAGAGTTTAATTCAATTTTTTTTTTCAATTTTTTAAAAAAAAATTTGTGGCATCTCTTATCTCTTTCCATGGCATTATATATTGAAGTATTTATGTATTTTGAATTTTTTTTTCAGTCAAATCTAATCTTATTTCTGCTTTATTGAAAAAAAGTTTGATCATTAAATCAAATCCTTTTAAGTGGTCAATTAAGAGTGATGATTTCGTCTAGAGTGTGAAATTAAAAAGATATCAAATAAAAACAGAAGCTAACATGTGTTTGATGCTACAGAAGAAATAGAAATATTTTATCCTTTTTTTCATAGGATCTCAACCCAGAACAAACCCATCCAGACTTCCGTATGTGGCTGACCAGTTATCCAGCTTCCTTCTTCCCAGTGTCCATTCTACAAAATGGTGTGAAGATGACAAATGAGCCGCCCAAAGGGTTGAGATTCAACGTCCTCCGGTCATACTTAACTGATCCGATTTCTGACCCAGAGTTTTTCTCTTCTGTCAAGAATCAGGTAGGTTATAATCAAATGTGAAATTATACTTCCTTTCTTTCAGAAAACAACAACTTTATCAACTGATATTAATTATCATTGTTAGTGAGAATGAAATTGTTCATGGGAAAAAATCCATAGTATTGTTGATATCATATGCCTACATATTGATAGATATATATTTTCCATGAATTCTTGAACACCGTTTTATATAACTGCTCCTGACTTTTACTTTCAGTATGCCTGGAAGAAGCTTCTGTTTGGTTTGTGTTTCTTCCATGGTATTGTTCAGGAGAGAAGGAAGTTTGGACCTTTGGGCTGGAACAACCCCTACGAGTTCAACGAGACTGACTTGCGTATTAGCGTGCAGCAATTGGCAATGTACTTGAATGAATACACGGTAGGAAACACATTATTGGTCCCAGTTTTCTGTTTGAAAATAAAATTGTATCATTGTCTTTACTAAGACGGGGAAAAAAACTCAACTGCATCACCTTTTAAGATTTTACTTTGAAAGCAGTTTTGTCATCTGAACCCAAAACCTCCTTCTATAAAATTTTGAAAAAATTGTTTTAAAACCCATATTAATTTCTGTGGACAGGATATCCAGTACGATGCCATCCGTTACCTGACTGGAGAGTGTAATTATGGAGGGCGTGTTACTGATGAGTGGGATCGTCGTACTCTGCACAGCATTCTCGACAAATTCTACAGCACCAACATCATTGAAGACAAAAACTACAAATTTGATGAAACTGGCGATTATTTCTCTCCCAATGACCTTGATGTAAGTTTTGAAAAGAAAATAAACAATAAACAAGAAAATAAACCACTTCAAAATATGCTTACAGGATTACTTATGTTTAGGGCACCTGTTTCTTTGGTTGTCTCCCTTGTGCTAATTCATGAATCAGTTTTACATGTCTTTGTTTGTTCATGGGTGTTAATAATATACACTTATGTGAAAGTGTACCAGATTAACTTAGAAAATATGATTTTGATCTTTTTGAAAATAAAAGATTTCAAGTTCCATGTAAATTTTGTTCCCCCTAAACTGAAACATGTGCTTGGATATGTCATTCCAGTATGAGGGAACACTGGAGTTTATCCGTAACCTGCCATTGAATTCTAAACCTGGAATCTTCGGTATGAATGACAATGCTGACATCACTAAGGACCAGGGAGAGACACGCCTCCTTTTTGACAACATCCTCCTGACACAGGTAGGCGTCGCCTCTTTCTAAGCCTCACCTTTGTTTTACCCTTCCCCCTTGGTGAACTGTTGAGCTTGTAGTGACCATGATTTGCCAAGCTTTACAGTTTGACCTCATTTGATTTAGTAGATTTTAAGGAACCCTTTGTGTTTTATTTCTAACATATCGATACCCCTGTTGATTTATTCACTGCTGTTTTCAAAACCATTCTAGATTTTGTTTTTGATTTGATTGCCACCTATAACCCAGAATTTGGTTGATATATGATATGACTTGAGCGCATTGAAAACCTGTAATGTTGTTTTGTAAAGAGGAAAATTGTTCAAAATTGTAAATTTATTACAGCTGTCCACAAAATTAAATACAAAAATTAGGTTATAAAGCAAGTTAATACTTACAATAAAAAGACAAAAAATAGTTTTTTCAAATTCCTTCCTAAGAGGTATTTTGGTATGTTTGATGTTTTACCTGAATCTCCATTTGACTTTAACGCACTTGTCATATCATTAATTAGTAGCTGTTTTGTTTGTTGATTTTTTAAATATTTTGCATTGATTTGAAACAAATTTCTGTCAGAAATGTACCATATAATAAGCTTGGATGACCAACACAATAACAAAGGAATGGGCTTATTACAACCAAATGGTATATGTTAATATTTATACCCAATTACATTTGGTATGGTTGGGCATATTACCTAGGCTCACATTGAATTATCAGTTAGTCTTAAAATTCATCAATATTTCATCAGGGAAAATTCCCAAATTTTATCAAAAATCTTACCCAGTATCCAAAATTTACCAATTGAGTGATGTGGTTTGCACAGTTCACGAACTACACTTAGATATTGACATTTGTTTAGGCCAATTTTCATTTCATTTATTGATAACTACTCTTCTGATTTTCTGACTTTTGGCCGAAAGTGTCACTGAAGATCCCTGGAAGAAAGAAACAGCTGTGTGAGGCAGTTGTATTACTTCATAAACATGTACTGTATTATTGAATATTTTGCACCGTTTACTTGCGTGTCTTCTGTAACTTCTGTTTCGAAGTTGATTGCTACTGATTATTCTGCAGGCATTAGCTATGTTACGAGCGCCTCAAGCGCTGCGCCCGTGGCCTGTCCACTTCAGTAAAGTGGTTTGTACCTGCACAATGTCGTTGATATTGTTGAATTGTTACATCAGAGTGCATTTCATCATCCTGTTGTGATCAGCATGAAGAATTACTCTTATTTTACAAAAATATTCTCTTTAGTCATTTTGTTTTTAAACAGGTTACATTAAAAAGGTAGTCGTCTTATGGAAAAAAAATCTGTTCACAGCAATATATACTACAAAATGATAAGTTATGTAATGATATGAAAAAATATCAATATCTGTGATTTAAAAGCAAAAACTGTAGATTTCTTTTAATAACCTAATGCGGCTTTATAACATTCCCATTGTTGTTTGTTTTTTGTTTTTTGTTTTTGTTGAAAAAATGTGAAAATTCAGATTTTTTTTTGGTGAAAATAAGTTTTTTTTCTTGAAACAGTTTATTTTTTAAGAAGTTAATTTTAGATATATAAGTAATGAGTCCATAAGGAAAATTCTGGTTCAGGAAAGAAAGAAGTCTTTTTGTATTTTTTGATTGGATTTAGATTTGGCATCTGTGTCACATAACTTTGCATGTACAATATCTTTGTTGTATTTTACAATATTGTGATAAATACACTGAAGGTAGGAGGTAATTCAATGTGATAATTTTGATACTGTTTCCATGTTACACTGGAACACTGATGAGGAACCTTGATAATGGAGTGATATTTCAAGATATCATTTTATTTCTAAATGAGAATCTATATTTTGCATGTTTTTGATCTAAATTTTTAAAATTGTTGATGTACTAATAATGCTTGGTAGGTTAACATTTATTTTCATTGTTAACCTTTTTAATTTCATTCACTGAGTATCATTTTCTTGACTTAGATATTTATCACCAGTAAAATTGACAATTAAGGGTTAAAGGTCCTAGGGATTGTTTTCATTAAGTGTCCCACTACAGCAACGTGGTATTGATGGAGGCAGCAAAATTATATTTTCGTACCACAGCTTAATTGTCATCACTTTCATTATGCATGACATCACCATATAAGGTGATTTAAGTCAAGGACAGAATAAGGGTTCAAAGGTGACAAATAGGAGTTGTGAGGTCAAAGGTGAAAAGGTTAATTGTATACAGTTTCTGTTGGCTGTCACCTTTGTATGTAAATACGGACATTTTATTAATTAAACTAGTGCTGAATGATTTGTTGTATGCATCTTGAAAACATCAAGGTCATAAAGGTCATATCATATTTTGAAACCAGAAAGTGATGCCTTTTTTCCCCAAGTTTTTTTTATAACTTCAGGCTGAAGTTAACATTCATAAATCCTTTAATCTTTTTTTATCTTTAAGAGATTTTCCTTGTTAATTGGGTTTTTTTTTATATTTATTTTTTGTAGATGTGCATTTTCTTTTCAATAAAGGCATTTGTAAAGCATGTTATTTTTTACAATACTTTTTATTGCAATTAAAAATATAAGAATTTAGTTTCAGGTACTTCAAAATTTACAAATTAAGTTGTATAAGTGTGGAAAATATAACAACGATGAAAAAGAAAAAAAAATCCTCAAAGTTTTCACTATAACTACCTGGTATTTATTTTATAAAGCTGCCATTTCTGTTGAAGTCGGCATTACTGATTCAGTTGACCCATTGTTTTATAAAATGATTTTCATAACATGATTGAGAACTGTATTACATATCTCAGTTTCCTTGGAGACAAAATTTGCTGATATTTGAGAGAGGTTGGAGAAAGATTTTATTTTTTTTTATCAGTTGATTGTCTATTAGAATATTACAGGGGTAAAAACACTTCTGGAAGCTCCCAAATGGCCAAAGCCTTGGCAGATAAACAGTTGTCATGTTTGTATATGCACCTTTTTGTTGTGTGAGTGTGTCAATGGTTGTTGTATGAGAGTGCATCAGTGTTGTTAAGAATACACCCTACAAGGAATTTTTAGGGTGCTAATTATAAACCTGAAAGTGAACTTTGGTTTTCTTCTTCATCTATATATTATGGAATGATATGGCAGAAGGCAGGAAATGTTTTGAAGTGAAGATTTGAACAAGGATTTTTACATATATTCAGAGCTTTGCCATTTGAATTTTCTTGAATTTTGTAGAATACTTCACTTAATACATTGTATCATATACATATATTTGCCACAGTAGTTTTAAACATGAACTAATGCAATGATTTTCTTGTTTTTTCATTTTATTTCGTGTGGTTTGTGTGTGGTTACGACTGGTGTCGGCAAATAAACGAAAACAAACAATATTAATCACCATGGTAACAGAAACGGGTAAGACCTGAGATATCACCACAATATGTATATAGTTTTTCTCTCTTTACAGAGTTCTCCTTCAATTCTCTTCAACTTCTTTTCCAAAACATATCAACTTGTTGGTGCTTCTTTTATGATCATTATTTTTCGATTTTCAAAAAATTGAAAAATTTATTCTCATTATACAGTTACTTGGAAAACAATGTACCAAGTAAATGTTCTTCTATCAATTAAACCCTATAACATTCATGTTTTTTTTTTTTTTTTAATTTTTGACTTTCTTGTAAAACAAGTTCGAAGGTTTTTTTCTGATTTTATTCAGTCCAATTCTATTTGATATGTTTTGGAAATCAGTTGTATTTTGACACATATACCTATTTATAGATACACATAGTAGTTATTACTAATAGATCCAAGGTGATTTGCATTATAGCTTATAAGCACACCTGTCCTCACCTGTAAGGGGACCAACTAATGCTAGACTAGCTTAAATTACTTACAATGTATATATACAAGGTATCCTACAGTTATTACTAACTGGTCACATGGTATGGTCACTATCAGTGTAACAAATGCCACTGACGCCTTAGAAACAGGTGCCATCAACTAGGCAACAACAGCTACCATGGCAATGTTTTTTATTATTATCTGTGGAAAAATTACCATGTAGGATAAATTTATTGGCTAAATAAGCTGGATATCATCTGATCTGTAACTATAACTAAACTGGGTTTTAAAGATTCTGTAAACAGTCCATCACAGCTTATGTGGGGTCTTCCTCTGGTAACTCCTGATTTCCCCCTCCAACCAAGCACGGCACATCCTTTAATGACACAGCTGTTAATAGCATGCAAAAAATCCTATTTGCAGAACAAACCTCACATCAGTTGGAACAAAAATTATTTTAAGAATCAGATATGCTTGTTTATTACAAGGCCTTTGCTGGCGCTGAGCAACTGACATTCTTTACCAAAGATAAGAATAGCAATACTGTCTATTATAATGATTATAATGTGTAATTCTCAATCAATCTCAATATTGTCTTCAATTTCTTACTTGATTAATATTATCAAATAAAAAATTGTGTTCCATTCAATCTGTGGATTCTGATGGATCAGGGGTTAATTTCTATATTTAGTAGTGTACGTGTTATCCCATTTACAAAAAAATGGAATCCTGATATTTACATCAGGAAAAGCTGTCTGAGAGATTAGGATAGAGGCTAGTTGTTTTTGGATATATGGAAGTAAATCGTTAAAAAGTCAGGTTTTATATGCCCTCCATTTTTTTATCGTTGAAGAAAAATGAAAAATTGAATATAATTTTACAGAACCTAAGAAAGTAATGGTGTGTCATGGCATACACTGATTATAATTATGTATTGCTGGAAGAAAAATAAATGTAAACAGTCAAATACCAATTTTACAATAAAGAGTACATCATAATTTCTGAAGTATGTACATTATATTAAAACTTTGAAGCCATATTGAAAACAAAGTCACCACAGACAGCTCAGATACTCTACACCAAAGAAATATCAAAATGGGCTGTATATGGGTGTATCAACAGAAAAATTCTATGACACATTTCAAGATATTAACAAGTGATTGGATGGTGTCCCATGCATGTGAGAAACAGGCTATTCAACTCTTGCTAGTTTCCTTAAACTGGTAAACATTAACAGCATGCATGATTTTATTTAGCTAGCTGATGATTTTTTTCCACAACAGATGGATTCCTGATTGGAGTTTCAGACTTATCATTGATATATCATAATCTATTTATGTATCTCTGGAAACTTTGGAATATTTTGCATAGTTTTACATATATATTTTGCAGCAGCTCAAAACATTTAATTTGCAGCCAATATCACAGTATTGCTTTCATGATATTGATTTTTTCAAAATTAAATATTTGTGGTGTATTTGATTTGGAGAACAACTTACAAGGTTAAAGGTTAAAGGTTACAGGTTAAAGACATTTAAATTTAAATGTACGATTATGTTATATATCTGTTTTTGTGTAACATTGTGAAGACAAGTTTTGGCAGAAAAGCAGTGCCAATTTATTGTAAATTAATGACCAATATCTGTGTTTAAAAGAAATTCTAAATATGGAGAATAAAGCTTAAATTACAATTCAAGTCAGAGGGAAAATGTGTTATGCAGGATTGCTATATTTGTAGGAAAGACGATAGTCTATTTGCAATTTACATTTTAGCTAGGTACTTAATTCTAGATTTTAAAAAAAACAGCACAAAAACGTTTCATGCATGATTTCGCTATGAGTGTTAATGTATGATTTAATACTCATATCTATTGACTCGTTTATATCGACTTTGATTTCTTAACACAATTTCTCATTCTTATTCCTGACTCTTCAATTTATCAGGCTTTCTGACTTCAATTTTCTCATCTACAACTTCTAGTTTAAGTAAATTTAATTATTTTTACTGTGCACTTTGAAGATTAAAGGACAGAAAACTGGTCTATAGTTATGTTAAATTTGTAGTGAAAATACAGAGATGATTTGTTACAACAGTGTTGTAAAGTCATTTTCCGAGGCAAATGTTGTCTTCAGATGTAATATAATTCAATTTACTTTATCTTGGAGGCTTGAAGTTACAGAAGAGAGGAAAAAGGAATGTTGATAATTAATTTTGTTGATTAATAAAGAATATGTTAATCAAATAACACATGTTTATGTCATTGATCTTAAGAAATCATCCATCAATTTCATTATCAATTAGACTGATCATCCGGTAAAGTTTGGCTCGCCTGCTTTTAAAAAATTTGAACAAAATGTTAATTTTTTGTCCACTTGGACCTCTTCCACTGCAGGCTAAAGCTTCATCTGAGGGAGGCAAATCCACTGACGAAGTTGTAGATGAAGTGGCAGCAGACATCCTGTCAAAGTTGCCACCAAACTACGATACAGATGCAGCGCTAAGGAAATATCCAACATCATACAAACAGAGCATGAATACTGTTCTTGTCCAGGAAATGGTGCGCTTCAACCGCCTCCTCGTCACCATCCGGTCTAGCCTTGTGAACATCAGGAAAGCACTCAAGGTCAGTTTGGAGGAAAGTCTTTTGAAAATAATTTTGAAGATTCTTTATACAGGACCTCCATCATGGCAAGCTAGTAAGACAGTCATAGAAATAACAACTAGAACACAAGATGTGAATTGAATATGGCCGTTTATTATAGTAAACATCATTTGTTATTTAGTTAACAATTTATCATTTAAACAGACCAAACAAGTCTTAGATGGGGTTCATAATCTGCCATAATGATTTCTGCAAAACTTATGCATAAATAAGTTAAAACAAAAGTGACGCAAAATCATCCCCTCTGTATGAAATAGAAACTTAGCAAATTGCTTCAGTAACAAGCTTAAAGTATGAAAAGCAAGATAAATTCTTTCTGGTCAAATGTCGAGATTTTGTTTTCTTAAATGTGAAAATTCCAGATCTTTTTCGTTATCATCGAATTTCAATTTGTCATTCTGTGTACAAAGATTTTCACAAAGTAGATCATGTATGCAGAGACTACTGTTTAAGATAGAAAAATGTGTACTTAGAGATCAATGCTAGTAGAGACCATGATCATATGTTCTTGTAAGTTGTGCTATGGTCACTTTTGTTATTTGAGCGAGGCTAGTAAGTCCACATGTTTGGTGGTCTAAGATGTCACAGGTCGTTGGGTCATAGGTCATTAGGTCATAAAAAGTCAGGTTATTCTGGGGAAATGATTTTTACAATTAAGGTATAAACTATCACTTAAGTGTCCTATATGTGTCAATTCTACATGTTTGTTTTTGCTTCAATAAAAGGGACTCGTTGTCATGTCTGGAGATCTAGAGGAAGTCGTCCTCAGTATCCTGAAAGGTGTTCCCCCTGGTATGTGGATGAAGAAATCCTACCCCTCACTGAAACCATTAGGAAGCTATGTCAACGATTTCCTGGCTCGACTCAAGTTCCTTCAGGTAATCATTTTGATCGCTTTATCAAATTCTTATCTTTTTCAGAAAAAAGAACTAAAAGTTCCATGATTGATCAATGGAACACTTAGTAAACTATTACTAGATCTATAGTCAATAACTGTGTATCTGTGTGATTTTCATTGTTAATGTAGGTAAATTTCTATTTGGTCAGATATCTAAAAGATTAATTGATATGGTTTAATAAGATCCTAACTTGAACAAAACATTTAATCTCAAACAATCTTCATATAAACTACACTGAATCATTTATTGGTTGTCAAGGCTAACAAAAATAAAATTTCAAAGACAAGTTTCCTAAAATTTCATTGAAAGGAAAACAACATACAGTACTGTATTCTATATAATTTGAATGGTCCTTAATTCATGTATTAATGATATTTGACAAATTTCCAGGACTGGTATGATCAAGGACCACCTCCAGTTTTCTGGATCTCAGGATTTTACTTCACACAAGCCTTCTTGACTGGTGCCCAGCAGAATTATGCTAGGAAATACACCATCCCTATTGATCTTCTCAGCTTCGACTACGATGTCTTGGAGGATAAAGATTATGACACAGCCCCAGATGATGGTAAAATTTGACCTTGAAATTTTGAAATATAACTTTTTAACCACTCTGTAATGTAGAGACATTCATATTGATAATGTCTCCCCTTTGAATGTCAGTTTTTAAAAAGTTTCTATTAGTGGCACTTGTTTGCATCACATGATCCAGACTCAAAATGCCAAGGTCAGTGTAAGTTTGAAGGTCATTCATGTACCACATCCTGCAATAATCTATGGGAGCCAAATACAAATTCTTATTGAAAGTTAGAGGGTGAGCTTATACTACAGGACAATGAAATAACATTTGATTGTCATTCTGCTAAACAGCAATATATACGGGGCAGGCTTATTACCAGGCATGGGTTACTTGTGGGATAAACAATGGATTTAGAGGCCGACACACCTCAATCACTTTATGTAACAAAATTTTCTAGAGAAAGGCAATTACTGTAAAAATCTATGACATTAACTTTTATTTTGTTAAGCATATTAATTTTATTCCTGATTTCCAGGGGTGTATGTGTATGGCCTGTTTGTGGATGGAGCCAGATGGGACAGGAAAACCAGGTTATTGGCCGAGTCAGAACCCAAGATACTATTTGACCCCTTACCTAAGGTAAATCACACAAATTTTCATTCAAATTAGAATTCTAAACAGAAGATACTTCATACATTCCTATAGATAGCAGCTCTTAAAGGAAATGTGTGTTTTGTCTTTAACAGGATAAAATTCAGTCATTCAATAAAATCAAATTAAATAAATCATTAAGATCAAATTAAATATAATTCAGCAGGACAAATTACTACATGACTTTCCTGTCTTGTGTTATAATACAGCTAACAATACACTAACATAGTAAAGCTACTGCAACTTTATTTCTAAGTAAAATCACATGACTTCCTAGGCATGTGAAAAAATTAACATATTCAATCGTTTGATATGATGCTTACCATAGACCTCATATAATATTTTTCTTATTTGATTTGTTATTAAAAAATCAAACATGATCGTTATATGATCACTCGTGTTTGATCCTTGTTTGCTCAAGCAAAGTTTACATTGTGGCAAATTCTGTATACAAAATTTTAAAGATATTTCAATTTTTTATGTTAATTAAGGTGTGGGTGAAACCAATAAAGAAATCAGACATCCCAGATAAACCAATATACAGATCTCCGATCTACAAAACAAGTGCACGTCGTGGTGTTCTCTCTACCACTGGTCACTCTACAAACTTCGTCATTGCTATGAGTGTGCCCTCAGACCGCCCACAGCAGCATTGGATTGGAAGGGGTGTGGCTATGCTGTGTCAGCTCGATGATTGATTGCTTGTATACAGCAAAAGGATTGGAGCCAACTTCAGACTTTACTTATATTTATATATATGTTATTATGGTAATAAAACTTGTCAATCAACGTGTTAGGGGCGTGACTTCATTTATTATGCAAATGAAGATCCTGGAACATCGTATTCTGAAGGGAAAATATTGAGACTGATTCCCCAAAAGTAACACAAGTTTTGAGTGTGACACATTATTTTATTTTTTGTTATTTAAGTATTACCATTTATTACCAGTACAAACAAAGGTCTGACAATATATTTTTATTTTTGCGAATAAATGTTATCTTGATCATACGTGTTGAATTTCCGTCCTGTTTCAGAAACTTCACGGCTACAGTTACAACAAAGAAGTTAACTTATTTGGATAATTTTGATATATATACGATGTGGTATTATCCCTAATTATACATATATCTATTTTAAATATTTGTATATTATTGAAATTGCTTTATCTTCTGAATGAGAGATAAATTATAGCATAGTATTGTTTTCAGTTATCTTTACCACAGGGTTTGCCGAAGACGTATTTTTATATTACTTCTGTGAGAATAGTCTTGTGCTATTTCCGTCCACACTTCTCATATGATATTAATGTTTTAAGTTATTTCTTTTTGAATATTGTTACATCATATTGTCATATTGTTGAGTTGTTTTAAAATTCAAACATAAGACAAATTTAAAGAGTTTCTGAAATTTTTCTCTGCAGGTTTGACAATTTGTTGAAGACCAAACACTTTCAGTCTTAAAAAAATAATTGGATTTTTAAGGATTTTTTTTTTCTTATTTTAAAAGAAAATTAATTCCTCTAATTTGTTCAACAGTTGTGAGAAATTTAAAAATGGTCTTTATATATCATAAAATCTGTTGTTACTGAATGAAATAACGAATATGTAATGATATAGAGATAATATCTGAATGTGCTAATCTTTGTTAAGCCAATATCCACTTTAGTGGAAACACACTGTGATATTTAAAAGTAATCATGTCTTATAATTTTAATATATTAACTGAATTTGTAACTAGTTTGTAAATATTTCATACATTCCTGATTTTCAATCACTTCAAATAATTTGTTGTTTATATGCATCTTTTTTTTTCTCATTATATGCTTTAATGGGATACTTTAACTAACTTCCAGGAATTTTCACATATTTAAAATCTTAACTTTAATCAAATTAGTGAGGATTTGCATTCACACTTTTGTCACAGAATTATATATTTACCACAGTTCTTTACTATCTACTAGATTCTAGCCATAAATTTGTCTAAAATTGAGAATCACTGAGAGATGAGTTTGGAAGTATTGCAAGAAATTGTCCTTCTGTCCACGATTTAAGGGTCCACAATATAACTTCACTAATTAAACCAGCAAAACGTTTAATTGTTTCCAAATGTGTTAAATCTGAGAGGATTTTTAGGTTGGTTTTTTTTTTACCTTTTCAAGGAAATTCTGCAGGAAATTTATTTTATCTCTCTAAATAGGCTTAGAGGCTAACCGCAGAACAATTTACTTGGCAAAAAAGAACAGTGCCATTTGTTGCCATGTCTGCTTAAACTTCAAATAGGTTTATAATCAGACATGGGCTTATTGCCGGGTCAGTGTTTACAATGAACCATATAATGGAGGACTATAGGACAGGCAGGATACAGAGATCCTATATACTGCTTTATCAGATTTAGTGTGCCTTTTATAAATAGCAATACTTGGCTGACAGAAAACTGCTGTATAGACATTAGTGTGCCTTTTTTGTAGCAATACTTAGTTGAATTTTACAACTATTTCGAAACTGCTGTTTATAACCCTAGAGTCTCTGAACTTCCTACTGTGATTAACACGATCTGTTAATATTATAGAATGTTTATATGTACAGAAATGTGAAAAGTTGTCAAAAATAAATGCAGATTGATGCCGAGTCAGATTTTGTTCTTATTTCTCTCATCTCGTACCGACACAGAAGCAAGAAAATGCTGCCATATTAAGGAAATCTCTTTTTAAAACTCCAAACACCCTCAAATATAATAAAACCATGTGATCCAAAAGGGTAGGCGTCTTCTGCTTCATTGATGGCACAAGACATGTAAATCTGACTGATATGGGAGAATAGTGGACTGTCTGCCTAAGATATCTTATTAAAGATGGTTGATGTAGAGGTTCTACAACGAGTGGCAGTTGATTATCATCGTTATCTAACTTGAGTGATTTAACTTTTAAATTTAGAAAAGACACGAGGCTTTGCTGAATGTCTTTTTCTAAATTTGAAAATTAACTAACGAGAGTTTGATAACGATGATAATCAACTGCCACGAGTTGTAGAACTTCTTTCTACCATAACCTTTTAACGTAAATATATATATATTGTGTACAACATTGTTTCACCCCCATTGACACTTTCGCGTAAGAATACATCGTAGGTTGTCCGATTGGGTCATTAATAAGCAAAAAGAGACAAAATCGCTATTTTTGAAGCAAAATACAAAATACTTATTTATTCAGTAATCTTGTTTGGAAACACCTCGTTCATTAGAACATTGGAACACGTTACAAAATTACACAATTTTTTAATCTTTTGAATAAAAATAATTTGGAACTAGTTTATTGCGGATAAGAGTAGTGCTTCTCCGGGGGGAAATGAGAATGCAGACACGATTAAGATGACGTGTAATTTCGAGAACTTTTAATCACTTCATCAGAACTGTACATCACCATTGGCCGTTTTCGATCGAAAGATTTATTATTGTGAATGTTGATGGTTATTGTGCCTCCATACACTGGACCACCGATGACAGAATGAAATGGCTGCCCTGTCATATTCGCCGTTGACCTCATGTGGCTGATTGCACATAGACCTATACCCGTTTCAGACGTATCCAACCTAATATCAAAGGTTGGGAAACCAAAATTACTGCATTTACCAATTACTATCCCCTTTCCCCTTCCACACAGTTTTACCGCATCACCGATCTTGACCGCCAACAAGAGTGACAGATCGTCACTGTCAGCCATGTTGATAATGGACAGCAGACGATAAACAATCGCACGTGGCGAAAGTAGTTCGGGGTAATGTCAATGCCTCGTCCAATAGATTTGGCTGTCCCCAATAATACACGTGTGCATTATGCGTATGAATAAACAATGGATATGTTGTTTAATGAATAGTCTGGGCGTGAGATAACATACGCAGGTTATGGTAGAAATGTATTTAATAAACATCAAAATAACTTTATGGGCGTTCCTGATAATGTCACATCGCGACACCTTTCGTCAGTAACATTTGCACTAATTAATAATTAGAAAATAACTTCAAGGACGTTCCTGATAATGTCACATCGCGACACATTTCGTCAGTAACATTTTACACTAATTAATAATTAGAAAATAACTTCAAGGACGTTCCTGATAATGTCACATCGCGACACCTTTCGTCAGTAACATTTGCACTAATTAATAATTAGAAAATAACTTCAAGGACGTTCCTGATAATGTCACATCGCGACACCTTTCGTCATTAACATTTGCACTAATTAATAATTAGAAAATAACTTCAAGGACGTTCCTGATAATGTCACATCGCGACACCTTTCGTCATTAACATTTGCGCTAATTAATAATTAGAAAATAACTTCAAGGACGTTCCTGATAATGTCACTTCGCGACACATTTCGTCAGTAACATTTGCACTAATTAATAATTAGAAAATAACTTTAAGGACGTTCCTGATAATGTCCCATCGCGACACATTTCGTCAGTAACATTTGCACTAATTAATAATTAGAAAATAACTTTAAGGACGTTCCTGATAATGTCACATCGCGACACATTTCGTCAGTAACATCACGGACATAAGTCCGTGGTAACATTTAGGAGATAGTAGGCTTATTTTTATGCAAATACATGTACATGTATAGTTGTATAATAAATATGTCGGTAACGGCCAGCATAGAAATTATCGGAACATAGGAACAAATAGAGATAAGGTTAGATAACAACATGTAGAAATGGGGCTTCACGGGTCACAGGGACTTGTCACTGACTCCCAGCCCATGGACCAATTATAGCGATGTATATTCTTGGGGTCACATATCTTAGTAAACATATATTGAATAGAGTTGAGAGCGTGTTTGAAACGAACAAGGAAAATGTCTACCTAAAGGGAACCTGTATCTGGAACGTAAACAACTCTAACAAAAATCCAGTTCACAATACATCATACAAGCTGCCCGTGGTCTAACTACATGTACATACATGTATTTTTTTCGGAATTCGCCAGGTCAAAACTTTGTCAATGTTTTGCCAATCTCGTTCATCAACACTCATTGGAAAGATAAACCATTACTCTTTAAGGTAATGTAAGCTTTACTAAGAACATCAACTTCTAGAATATCAAAAACATTTTTTATAATATATGTCCAGTGTTCCTTTCTCGGGAGTTATAATCCTTGTTGCTGTAATGCGAACATGTATATATGGATCGTGGGGTGGGAATTTATCCCAAGTCCCTATGGTCTCGATGAAAAATTACAAAACCTAACACTGGGGCCTAGTTTATGACCTCTCTATGGTATACTACTTCCTGGTTAAAGTACATGTAAATGGTGTGATCAAAATGTGTGAGGGTATATATTGGAGTATTAAAAAATACGACTACTGATGTGTAATTTACGAAGGTCATGTTTAGCAGTTGTTATATAATAACTTAGCAGTGCATAATCACGTGCGCAATCTGTAAGAACAGTGACTTGTCCGTATTCGAGTTCTTTAACCGATAACTCCGTCTGTACACTGGGCAATGGTTCGAAACCATATCGCCATTAAAGTTAAAATGCAGGTCCTCAGTAAAGATAATTAGATAATTAGGTCCCCAAGCACCTAAAATATAACTGGGTGTCAAATGAGCATCAGATCAGCAAAAACTATGGATGCAAATGAATCCGTTTCTTCGATACCCCAAGGATTACGATCACTTTCGCCCTCTGCACCTCTAGCATATGTCATGACAAAATAGAAGGCACAAGCGAAGTAATTTGATTTGGGCTAGGAGAAAAAACTGACCAATCACAAGCTGATGTAATCCTTTTGAAGGTTACAAGGGCGAGACACCCAACATCAAAACATTACAATATACCATTATGCGACTTCAAGATCATTTGATAAACATCACAGGATTAAACTTTTCGTTTCGTTTTGTTCACAAGGTGTGACACATGGACCTTCGGGTTTTCCATGACATTTTCCATGGGGACAGAGAGTGAAAGTGATCGTAACCCCTAGCCCCTGAGTGGACTAGTTCACATGACCTTATCAAAACATATAGGACGCTGTTTTCAACACATGACTTTACTCAAGTCAGTTTATTGGTCCATATTTATAATAAAGTTAAGATATTCAAGGCACCCAAAATACCATCGGGCTTTAAAATTCAGATTAGATGCAAGGAATGGCTGGTGGAAATAAATATGTAGCAGAAAGTCTTATCGCTGCAATTAATTGAAGCGTGGAACGTTCTCGCGTGGTAGAACATATTGGAATGCCAAAATAAACGAATGGATTGGGCATGGGTTGTTGA